TTAGTAATTGGCCCAAGCACAGGTGGTGGAAAAAGGAATGGCTTCAGATGGAATAATTTCACGCGTCATCGGAACGGCTAGAAGAGTGGAAGAAGCAAGCAGAAATGGTATTAAAGAAGAATAAATGGAGGAAAGGAATAAATCTGTGATCCCACTTTAAATCTCAATCTCATTATCAAATAAAATTCGATAGAAACAAGAAATGTTTCGATTATTGCGAAGTAAAATAAAAATAAAAAACCAACGAAGAGGACTGCAAAACACTGCATAGCCGCAAAACAGTCGCAGCAGCACGATGGTCGATAGCTGCTCAGTGCATAACTGCAATAAATTTCTGTGAGAAATTTTAAACAAACCATAAATATCACTTTCCATCTGCTAGTTTTCCTAATAAAATCTTCTATTACCTCTAAGAAGTAACCACCACTTAAGTGGTGTTATAGCACAATATAAAAAACTTTTCATAATAATTGGTAGCTTAATAGCAGCTTCAACTGAAATTTTATAAGTGCAAATATGGAAAAATTTTTTGAATTTATCAATTTATTAAATACAAAAACATTTATATAAATTACAAATTAAAAATAACACCTACTTCAATAGCTTTTAGCATTTTCAACAACGGATCATAATCGGAGAAAACTGCTTTACCCAACGATATGGAACATTTTACAAATGATAATTTGGATGCTTTTCTTTTATTTTGCAGTAAAAAACTGCAAACAGTACTCCATTCGACCTATACATTCTCTAGTATTTAGCAATATTACTTCTACTTATTTTCGAATTATTGCAAAAAATTTATAAAATATAATTTATTAAATTTATTAAATTTACCAAAACTTACCTGCGTAAAAAGCAAACAGTTGCAAACTACGAGGGTACCCAGACGATTAAAAATATCTTAAGCAATATAGCATATTTAAGTGCAAAAGCACATAGAACAGACAGAACAACAATAATATATTTAGGATTTTCATTTTCTAGTACTTTTAATTTATCTTTCTTATTACATTTTTCTCTCTAACCGTCATTCTTTTTTCTCCTTGCTGATTTGGTTTGCTCCTCTGGTGACTAAGTAAGACAGTTCCAAGTCTCTCAATCCGATGCTATTTTTATAAGTAACTCAAACCACTCCTTTTCTCACCGCCTAATCGCCCTGTATGTTCGAAATCTCCCCACATTGTACTGGTTCAAATCTTGACTGGCGCACACTTGTGATGTCATTCGCCATATAATTTGATAAATATGCGATTTACGTGGTAGATGATAAGGAATATGGGTTCAAACAATGCTTTGATATTCTTAATACAGATGATATTCCCGCGAAAGTGGATGAAACAGTTAGTAGAAGATATGTGCACACTTTTTTAAAGATATCTTATCTTAGTCAAAAAAATGCAGTTGGTTTCCTGAAATATTTTATTTTCATTGGCCAAGTTTCGCAGCTTTATAGCAAGATAGCATATACTACAACCAGAAAGATGAATTATGTTTTGAGGCTGCAGCCACTCAAACAATCATCTTTTGTCTGACCATTAGGTATGCGGGTGGGTAAAAGTGCGGGTTCTCAATGAATTTGTAAAAATTGCGATTTTCTCATCAGAGTTTCATTTTATTTATATTGATATGAAGGCAAATTTTTGCTGCTGCTGTCAACATCGGGTCTAAAATTATCTGCACTTCATCATAACTGCCAGCGAAAAGGATAACGTATTCAAGACCCGTGGTATTATATTCAGGATTTATCTATATCTGTACACCTCCTGAATGTTGACAAGCGGTGTTTATAATATATCGCTAAATTTGAAACTATAAGGAAGAGAACGCAAGCTCGTCAATTCGTATTTCAAAAGATTATGTTAGTTCCATGCACATACTGCATTGAAGTATGCCGGTAAAATGCTTTAAAAAATTCCCAGATAGGTCTGATTAAATTCTTAAAGTTTAATGGAATGTCATTGCAAAAGTAATACAAATTAGACCCCAGTAATCCTGAATTTCGTGGAAAATCTACTCTCCTAAGAGGTAGAAATCGAACTTATGATGCCTGCGATTCGAGGTGAAACAACTTAACCATCACAGCGTCAATCCGTCCACTATATTCAGATTATAATAAAGGAAAACAACCAGAAAAAATAATTATTTAAATAAAAGGAGAATGGAAACATAAAACTGAAAAACCCACATTTGAATTAAGTAATTCATTTAAGCGTTCAACGATGGGCTTGAAAACCGATGGCGCATTTCGTTTACAAATTTCATCAATAAGTCGAACATATAATTCAGCCAGACGAACATTTTTCATCGGTGAATCGTCTTGCAAGCTAAAATACATGAAATAAAACGAGAATGACAATATTTAAGAATAAATCGACTGTTCGATGGAAAAACCCCTCGAATAAATAAAAATGAAAAAAAAAACATACGAACGAAATATGGTAACAAATAAAACAATATTTATTTATGCTATTATCGGAAATTTCGTCAAAAATTACGAAGAGAAAATTTCCTCGGCCTTTCCTTGGATTTAACCCAAAATAAAAAATTATTAACTGAGGCGCATGCATTTGTAAAAACTCATACGGACACTAGGATTACAATGACATTTGCACAGAATTTTCGACTTTAATATTCATTCATGAGCAAGAAATGATAGAAATGTTAGCAGAAGCAGTACGTGGCATTAACACAAAAATTCATATTGCTAAATTTGCATATCGCTTCACTTTTCCACAACACTCCTGTACGTTTAAAAATATTCAGAGAAGATACATAGGCTCCATCAGAAAACTAACCACGGCTCACAAAAAAAACAACCCTTAATAAAAAGCAAGCGATTGACAATTTTGTCAGATTGAAAACAACCTCGATGAACTATTCTGTAAGCTACTACTGGTTCGCATCAGCGATTCCATAGGTTCGTCTTCAAATCGTAAAATTTTTTTATGAATTGAAAATGAAGATAACTTCAGCACATTCCTGAAAAATATAAAAGAATAATTTATAACTGAGAGTTTGCAAGATAGAAATTTTCTAAACCAAAACAAGGTTATCTACCATCATATCTATAGTGCATCATGCTTTTAGGCCCATTTGGTATTTTGAACTTTTTCATGCATAACGCTTACATCGATCACAAAGTAATAAACGTTTGCGACGAAGACTATGGCCAATACTGCCAATTTTCTATTTTAATGAATTCAAATCCTAAAATGGTAATTTTTGCCAGAATTCCTCTTTTTTATTTCATATCCCGTCACATAGAATCTGCAACAAGTAAGGTGCCATGGAACTGCACCTTACGTTATTAAATTAGACTGTACCTTTGTACCATTTAATAGATGAACTGACAGACTAATCTGAGCTCGCTAAACATATTATACTATAATATTCCACTTACCTAAATTCCTAAACCATTTTAATAGCAAGTAACGGAAGTTTATCTTATAATTTTAATAACAACTGAGCAGCGAAAATTTTTTCAAAAAAAAGTAAGATAGGTCTACAACGACTCGGATTTCATTTTCAATGGCAGATTTTCTGCCTTCAAGAGATTCACAATATTGGCTTACATATATGTATATAAATATCAAGGAACGATCATTTTCTGCTTAAACATAAGTGTGCATAAGTATGAAAATCATTTTCTAATGGAAGTATAAGTATCTAAATCCAGAAAAAAGCTATGGAGAAAACTGAAAACTGAATGAAAACTAATGAAGAACCTTAAATATTGAAAATAAGCGACATAGACCACTAGAGTTATCGATAAAAATAATAAGAATCCAAGAAGACAGCTATGGAAAACTTAGGCGATCTTGCATGACTTATAGATTTACTTTGCAAGCCTGGAAAAGAAAAGGATGGTGGAGAGTGGTTTCGACCAAGCAACATTTGCCTCTTTCTTTTGCTTTTTTCTTTTGGATATGGATCCATTCGTTTTTTCCATACACGAGTAAACCCGATGAGTTACGCCAAATGGCCAATACAACCAAATCAAAAATGGAACGAAGTAATCTGCTCATACAATTTCGAAGCAATCACTTGTGACAGAAATACAGGTGAGCTAGCATTTTCCGATTTTAGAAAAATATATCACAATCACAATATATTAATGTTGTTTTGTTAGTTTTCTTAAAGGACAAAAACAAAGACAATAAAAAAATTGAAGTTCAAATCCGAAAACCGTAAGAAAATGGCTTTCAGAAAAATTAATTCAAACGTAGTAAATTTTTTTTCTAACCATCTCAACACGATATTCATTTGATCATAATTTAATAATGTTGTACTCCGCTTCTTTTTTGTTTCAAGCATTTTTAAAAAAAAATCTGTGGCAGTTGACACAAAATCATCAAAAATTTTAAGTACCTTATAAAAAGACTTTATTTATTTAAATTTAAATTCAGTAAATTTAACTCAACAGTAAATTTTGAATCAAAAATTGCTACAACTACATTTATAAATACAAATTTTTTAAAGAAAATTTAAAAGAAAAGTTCCAATAAATAATTAAAGGAAAGTAACTGAATGAGAAATTAAACAAACTGATCAAATATTTATTATATGAATTCAATGAATCGCCCAAAAAAAATTACCTAAACTATATTTTTAGTTACATTTATATTTTTAGCTATATTTATATTTTAAAATTTTTCTGCAAATATTAACAAATATTAAAAAAACAAATTAGAATTAAATTTTATTAAAAAATTGGCAGAGAAGTCAGCAGAATATAATCAATCTACCGAATCTATTAAAATATCTAAATTTACATATTTTCCAAAAAATGCTATAAATACTATAATGATCAATTTTTCGAGGTGCAAGAAATCCACTTGCATTTCTCTTGATACTCTCAGCTATATTTAGATAAATGGCAAACTGGTGTCTATTATTAACGTATATAACGTATATAGCTATAGCAGATTTTCCACGAAATTATGTAAAAATTTGCGTAAACATTAATGCACTAAATAACTCATTGTAATGAGACAGATTCAAGTGAAAGCAAATGGCTTTGTTTCCGTGAAAATGCCAGATGTGGCCTTTTTTATAGAAGTAAGTGGTGGCGATCGAAGAGGTAAACGTGGTGGATCAATATCGCCATAGCTAACTTCATAATAACCCCTGAATGGCCTGAAAAATAAAATGACAAATAAAACAGGAAAAAAAGAAATGAAAACAAACTACAAAAAAATGACCTATTACAAAGTACTGAAACACTAACCTTAGAAAAGCGATTTGTCCCCCAACTAATTCAAATTCTGTTAACGGCCTGACACCAAGATCAACCAGTGTTGGGTTTCCAGTTAGAACATCATTAGTGCATTCAACAAATTCAATCCATTCACGCATCAGAGCAGTATTGCACTTGAATATCTTACTCCAAACTTCAGCCATAAAGGTAGCTGTTCTATGAAAATTATAAAATAACAATAATAAATGAAAATAATGCCATGCTATAAATAGTTAAGAATATTAAATATATATTAAATAGTTAAATAGTTAAATATTAAAAATTAAAACTAAATAATTCAAATAAATTGACTATCTGGTAAACTGTTTATTACCGCTATTATTTCATCTTCCAACAGTACTCACCACTTTTTTAATTTACTGGTTATACTATCTGATAAAAAGATCCTTCATCAAAGAATAACTTGAGGAATATCACTTTACTTAAAATGATAATGATTTATTCTCAACAAGAAATAGCTCGCTTTGCGAAAAAGATGAACGGTTCGATGATCGATATATGATTCGAGGCAATAACATTTAGCTGTCTGATCTTTTCTGTCTGAGTATGAGAGCAATATAACTATTAAACAAATGATAGATTTTATCACAACCAAATGATTCCCTATTCACAAGCAATAATTATAATTTCATTAGAGTAAATTTTTTTTTTAAAAGCATTCCTTATTTACGCTCGCTCGATTGATCAGGTAAATTTTACTAGGGAATCACTTGGCGATAAAAATATAGGGGGCCAACATTACCTGATTTTCTTTTAGTAGTCCTCATCATTACTGGTTAAACTCGCTCCGCTGGTTTATCACGCTGAATAAATGCCAGGAAGTCCCTTGGCGATAGAAATACAGGTGAACCGGTAGCATCACTCGGATTTTTAGGCAGGCTTACTCCTGCGGGGAGTAGAACCTCAGCATCCGAATGTGCAACAATCCACTGAATCATTCTATCCCCAGGTATTACTCGATTATAGAAAAATCTATCGCAGTATGTTAATTTTTTTTCGTAACTTTCTTGAAGGACGAAAATAAAGACAAATTGAAATTAATATAGATGAAAATGAGAAAAATTTTATAAAGTTGAAAACCTCATGACTGGATTAAAAGCGAAGGGAATTCCATATCTCTTGTAGTGAAATCCGAATTTCTCAATACAACGTGCTTTAGCATACATATAATCAACCAATTCCGACAACCTATAACAATGTGGACCAACAAATTCATAAGTTTTGCCAACAGATGTAGGATCCAGAACAATTTTTTCAATACCTGCACTAACATCTCCAACCTATAAGCGAAGTACATAAAACCGTTTCAAAAGCTACGTTCACTGATATGATAATAATTAATTAAACTTACATAAACAGGCATTCTAAAGGTTTCAAGACCTGACTTGTGTAACCAAACAAAATCAAATGGAGGAAATTTACGTAAACGTGAAACATAATAAGATATAAAATAATCTGCTTCACCATACATAAGTGATGGTCTGAAAGGAATCAAAATTTTTATTTATTCGAAAATAAAAAAAAGTTCAAAAATTCAAGTTCAATCCAGAAAAGACTAGGGATAATATAAAGGTAAGGAAAGAAATGAAGAAAGGTTACTCTCAATTTTTTTTGGCCCATTAAATGGAAGGAACATGTTGAAGAAACAAAGATTTTTCCGATGTTGAAAATCTTTAGGCCTTTTTCAGGATAACCACAAAAGTTTAAAACAACTTACCGAACAATCGTTGCATCTGGAAATTCATCTCTTACGGCCTCTTCACCAAAAGCTTTACTTTTTAAAATTTCAGACCCTTTTTTCAAAATACCAGGAGTCGGTTCCTTAGAAACATTAAGCGCTGATATGTGTATTAATCTGGAACCAAAAATTCACTATTAAATCAATTTTAAGATACAAATTTTTAAGCAAATGGAACAAAAAAAATAATAAATAATAAATCAAAATGAAAATAGTAAATAATAAAAAGCATCTAAAATCTTGTAATTTAAAAGAAATTAAAATATTAAATTCAATTTTTCGTAATAAATTCAGTTGCTTCTATAATGACTAGCATTTTTAGCCACAAAAAACGTTAAACGTTAAAAGTAAGAAAGTTAAAATGCCTAGTACAAATGAATAAAACAAATAAAAAATTTAATTTGTAATAGAATAAAAAATAAAATACCTCTCAACTCCCATTTCCCTGGATAAACGCGCAATACGACGAGAACCCTCAACGTGTGTGTCTGTAAATGAATAATTTCTCGTTTGGATTTTTGTTCCAATTAAGTTAATAACAATATTGCTATATCTTAATGATCGTCGTATTGATTCTTCATCTTTTAGTTCGAAAGGAAAGAAGAGAATTTGACCAAGTTCACCGAAAACCTGAAATAAAATTTATAATAATAATAAAAATAAATGAGAAAATTCTAATTTAATTAATTGACATCAACTGGCCAATTTTAAAGACCTATTTTAATTTATAGATAAAATAATCGAAATTTTTTCAAATTTTTTTCTATCGTTTTGCCTCGAAAACAAATAAAAATAGATTTAGTACCCATTTGAACATAACAGTAATGTCTATCTATCCATATGAATTGTTTTTTTTTTCACGCAAATGAAATTTTATTATCAAAGAATCCGTTTTACTTTAATACTGAGTGAAAATGGCAAACCAAGCATACCTTTAATTCGCGAATATAATATGGATCCTGCCGATATGGAATTATTATCTGATTACCTTGCTTAGCCAAACGATTAACAACATGCAATCCTAGAAATCCTGTGCTACCAAACACAGTTATAACGTTCCCAGAAAAACTGCAACGACCACCAGTGCCCTTAAAAAAACCTAAAAAATATTCATTCCACCGAATGGAAAACCTTAAAAATTTTCAACTTTATGAAATTATTCCACATGATAATTTGATCATACTTTGCGAAATGAAGCAGTTTTACTCGACACTATTGGGGTAGGCATATTAGACCCACTGTTAATCGAAGTATGTATTGCAGATGTTACGATGCGCAGTATAGACGGTATTTTCACATTCAACGCAAGCATCGACTGAAATTAATGAGATTATAAGGATCGCCTCTCAGATTCTCCAGAATACAAGAAAAAATTGTCTCGAATTAATTGACGAGATAATAGCTGGAGACTCACTCATTTTTATTTCCAAGTAAATTCTCAAGAAACGTGATAAGAGGCATTACGACAACTATCGAGCTAAGCTTTCTGGGAAGCTTTTTGCCTCTCCCATGATAAAAAAATTCATGGCATTATGTGACAGAATATATTCTAGCCAAGCGCCTTAGTTCAGGATTGAGATGAAATTTTCACGTCAAGAAGGACCAATGGAGCGTCGTTTATTGATAGTTTATTGACTCTGCCGTTATATGCTCCGACTTTGCTGCAGCCTCTAACTCGATTAAAGGAATGGCATTCTCAAATCATGCGATACAATAGTGCCCTAAAGTAATTAACCAGACTTATCAAAGATTTTATCAGCATACTTCAGAAGACATATGTATTTAGGGGGAATCGAAAAAACCTTTGAAATACGAACCGATGTGACAAGCATTCTTTTCTGTACGATTTTTAAAGTGATAGATTAGATTGTTGATATGTATAAATGAGTCCAGAGCATAGTGACTCCAATCCGTTGATGACATCCTTTTTGCCGACAGTTATGAAGAACAAAAGCAGATGCTAGTCCGAGTGTCCACGAGTTGTGAAAATTGCCTTCAATGTAAATATACCAGATGTTGATTAAATTACGATTTACATAAATTTATCAACCGAAGAAGTGCCGAACTTTGAATACTAGGGATCCACTTTCATACTTAATGATCCAACAAAAAATGGATTTCAGTTCGGGTGATTCCAGCCAGAAGTGCCTCCTTTCATCTGGCGAAATTTTTCCAGAACCACTGCGAAATCAGCCTCAACACAAAAATTTGCATCTATCCAGCCTTACGGGTAGCTGTTCAGACCCAATTGTACTATACGTTTGCAACTGCAAACCGCTAACCCAGATGACTGGAGCAAAGCAATTTCGTTCATAAAAAAAGTGATAGGAGATATTGCGACAATTATCGAGAAATCAGCCGAGAGGTCTCAATTTCTGCTTCCCTTCTATTCAATATACTTGTGGCAATACAGGACAGCAGGATGTGCCTTAACCAAGCTGGATTTAAACCAGGAAGCGGTTGCGGTGATCAGGCTAAGATGGGTGCTATAACATCCTTTTAAATATCAGCAACCCACCACCATTTTTATTTTAAAAAAAATCTGTGGTGAAGGGGTCAGATATTTTTGATACAGAGTTGCGATAAATGCACAATCCAGGCGTAAAGCGATCCCGAGGCTGATAAACAAAATATACTGGCAAGACATGCGGTGAGGTATTAGCCGTATCAGCGTGGAACGTCAGAACGCTTATGGACGTTGAAAGTCAAGCGATCACTGTCCACATCTTGTGTCTCTAAGTATCGTATGGATATCGCTTGCTTGTCGAAGGCCCGTCTTCCTCACTTTGGGTCCCGAGCAATTAATCCTGGTTAATCCTGGTGATTAATTCAGAGCAGAGACATTGGCTATATCACTGTGGTGCTTCGAATAAATCGGGATGAAATGGCGTAGCGATTGCCATGTCTGACAAGGCCCATTCCACTTTGATTGAGTGGAAACCGATAAACGACCGTATGGCCCATCCCGTTTTAAGGGTAAGTTCTGCAATATCTCGATCATAAGTGTCTATGCTCCAACTCTATCGGCAGACCGTGATAAAGATAAGTTCTATGCGGAATTTCAATTGCTAACAAAGTCTTCTACCGAAATATGATATGGTCATAATCAAGGGAGACTGGAATGAGCGCGCAGGTCATATTGCTGCTGCGATGACCTCGACAATTGGCAAATGTGGCATCGGAGAACGGTGCACCAACGAGAAACTTTTTCATTATGCCTAAGAGCATGAACTTTTTGCTACTAATACTTGCTTCCGGCGTCGTAGAAAACATCTAGTCACGTGGAACTTTCCGGATAACCAACACTTCAAACAGACTGATTATATCTTGGTCAGTCACCGTTGGAAGAGTTCCATACTAGATAGTCGTTTCTATAGCGGCGCTGAAACCAACAATTTTCATGGATCTAACCATGTTATGGTTCAATCCGCATAAAATTGACAACTTGCAAAAAACAGTATCTCCCAAGATCCTTCAACTATTTCAAATTGAAAAATTCAGGAGCAGTGAACGCATTTCAAACTGATCCCGGATGCTTCCAAGATTTTTTTCAAGAAAAAGAAGATTTTCCAAGATTTAACGAAAGCAGCACAGCGGGAGAAATCACTATTGGAGTGACATGGCCTCAAGAATGGAGGCAGCAGCTCGATTAGGCGATAATAGGAAACTATTCCGCCTTCTTCATAAAACACCAACTCGGGGAACGATCAGTGAAATACTAAGGGACAGCAATGTGCCAATCAAGATTATTAAGGACCGCCTCATAAGATGGAAAGAATTCTTTGAGGCCAAAGTTAACCATGAAGCGCCATTTGTTGCTCCTGATATAACTGATACGTTCGCTGAACCGTATGTTTGCAACAGCCCCCGACAGAAAAAGAAATAATATCTATTATCAATAAGCTTAAGGCCAATAAGGCTCCGGAAGAAGATGGTCTTCGGATTGAACTCTTCAACTATTGTCCTTCATTGCCCATCGTCCTTCATAACACATCTTCAACAAATGTATTCTCTGGTATGAGAAAAAAGAAATATTGAACCAGATGATTGGAACAAAACAATTCTGCTCCCAATTCTCAAGAAAGATGATAGGACATACTGTGACAATTATCGAGAAATCAGCCTACTAGACGTTTCAGCGAAAATTTTTGCTTCCCTTTTACTCAACAGACTCATGGAAGTACGAGACAGCAAGATGGGCCCTAATCAACCTGGATTCAGACCAAGGTGCAGTTGTACTGACCAGATATTCACGTTAAGAAGGGTGTTGGAACATCGCTTCAAATATCTGCAGCCTTTGTAACTGTCACGTGTTTCATCGGCTTTGCGGCTGCTTTCGATTCAATTGATAGAGCGGCGCTTTGGAGAGTACGTGACGGTGTTCCAGAGAAAATCATTATACTCATAAAGGCTTTTATGTACAAGAAGCTGATAAAATGTCTCTTTTTGTAAATCCATTGCTGGTCGAAGAAGTGCACGATTTTAAATACCTTGGGTCCACTCTAATACCAAATGGCCAGGCAAAAGACGATAGCTCGGATCACTGCAGCTAGAAATGCGTTCTTCCGGTTGACGATACCTTTATGTAGCCGTCGTGAAATTACCATTAAAACAAAAGTCCGCATCTATATAGCCGTGATTTGTTCGATCTTGCTATATGGTTCTGAGACATGACCAAGGAAAGTGGAGGATATTAAGAAACTACCTACCTTTGACCACTTTTGTCTAAGGTATATTTTACGGGTCCGTCGAACGGAAAAATATCACATGATCGCATCCATCTTCGCTCAAACACCATCTGTATTAATAATGTTATCACAGAGCGTCGCCCTTGGTAGTTAGGGCATGTTCTCCGTAGTCCACCACAAGAGTTGTCGCATATTTCGTTACTTGCTAAACCATGTGATGGATGGCGGCAAAATCGAGGTGGGGCAATCAAGACCTGGACTGATACGGTCAGGAAAAAATTTTGAACATATAAGTGGACCAGCAATATATGGATTTAGATGATGGAAAAAGGAATGGCTTACCGTCGACGATGGCATCAGACCGCGCCGTTTGGAAGCGTCTTATCCTTATAGCCTTTGGAGCCAGCCTAACCAGTAATGAGAGTTGTTAGAAGAAGGAATCCACCACCACTTGTTTCATCGATTTGCGGCTGCCTTTGATTCACTTGAGAGAACAGCACTTTGGAGGATGATGGAACCTGACGGTGTTCCAGAGAAGATCATTCGACTCATAAGGCATTTTATTAACGTACATCGGCACAGGTCTACATGTATGGGGAACTGACAGAATGCTTCGAAATGAGAATTGGTGTCAAAGGTGTGTTTTCCTCTACAATATTCAACTACGTAATAGATTTAGTAATGGAAATCGCTTATCGGCACTCAAGAGATATGCAGATAGCCCAGAGCATAAAATTTTGAATACGATAATGATGTTTTTGCTGACAGTTATGACGAAGTGCAAATATTGCTAAACAATATGTCAAGTGCAGCGAAAATCGGATGTCAATAAAACGAAATTATTTTTCTATTCTCATAAATTCATTACTGACCCGATTTTAAATACTTTGATCCACTCTAACCCGAAATGACCAGACAAAAGAAGAAATTACAGTCCGGATAATGGTAATTAGAAATGCGTTCTTCCGGCTGACGAAACCTTTATATATAAACTTTTAGCAAATTCATCATAAAAAAAGAAATTACGCGTCCATATTGCTACAGTTCGTTTAATTTCACTATATGGCTGCGAGACTTGGTCAACAAGAGTTTAAGATATTTCAGAATCTTTGACCACTCATGGACAAGACGCATTTTTACGAGTTTGTCGAGTGGACAAAATCTCACATGATCGCATCCGCCTTCGTTCAAAGACAGCATTTTCATTATCAATACCATCAGAGCGTTGCTTTTCGTTACTTGCTAAACCTTGTGATGGATGTTTTCAAAAGCGAGGAAGACCAATCAAAATATGAACTGGTATAATCACGAAAGATTATATGGACTTAAACGGAAGAAAAAGGAATGGTTTCTATGACTATCAGCGACAGCATCACATCGCGCAGCTGGAGAATGTTTTATTCTTGTAGCCAGTGGAGCCAGCCTAACCAGTAATGGTGAGAACTATTGATAGAAGAAGACTGAGTATATACAATCATGCTATAAGCCTGTGAAATTTGGCCGTTGAGAGTGAAAGATATCAGGAAAATAAATGCTTTTGACTATCCCTATCTAAAGTGTCTAATACTCCCGAAGTGGAAGAATCTCATGATTATCCACTCTCATATCTATGTGAAATATGTCATAAAGCGTTGTCTACTCTGATTTGGCCATGTTCTTTCGTCCACCTACCACAAGAACTGATGCAAATATCGCTACTTACTAAATCCTATGATGAATGGCGTCAAAAACGAGGAGAGCCAAGACTTGAACCAGATGAGATTTTGTATAGGCGGCCCAGCGACACATGGACTTAGATTGTAGAAAAAAAAGAAAGCCAGTTACTTTCAAAACATCGAATGTCTTATTCTAGTCGCCAGTGAAGTGAATCAATCCAACAGTTATTTACAAGAAAGAAAGACTTCTATTCATACTAACAGCCAATGGAACGGTCCTAATCTGAAATGGTAAGCGGTAACCATATAAACCATCCATAGATGCAAATGCGGAAAATACTTTATAAATTATAGATGGATGATTCAAAATAAAAAAAAAATTTGTTTCACAAAACGGTGGAATAGTATGATAAAATGAAAGCACAAATATCAGGCAAAAAAAAGGCAAAGAATTTCCCAGTCTAATTGGCCGAAAAATATCAACAAATTTCGTTTACAGGTATTTTTACTAAGGAAATATGACTGAAAATTACTAGAAAATTAAGAAAAAATGATTTAAAACATTTATTCAAAAAAATTCAAAAAAATATAAAACAATAAAGTTTAGCATAAAATTATAAAATCAAAATTTTAAAAGTCGAATGATATAAAAATACTAAAGGAAAAGTGATGCAAAATTCTTGCCATTGACTATTACATCTATTCGCTGCTTCCATTTTATCTCTTCAATATTTTATTGTTCGAATCAGCAACAATACAGTGATAGATTTAACAATATATACGAATATATAATTTCTGCATAAATTATGCTTTATTAGAATAAACTAAAAAAACCAAAAAAATTAATATTACTGCACTGTCAAAATTTATCGAAAGCATAACAAAGAAATGTGGTAGCCATTAATGAAGCACCACTACACCACTATTATGAGCAAAAATCATATCTTATTTTTTGATAAATAAATGTATATTATATCTAAATAAATCTTAGAGCCCGTATGCACCACCAGCCTGCAAAAATTTATTCATCTTACTATCATAAATGAAATTTTCTGAAGGATTCACAAAAAAATAATAGGCAGATAAATAAAATAAAAATAAATAAAAATAATAAAGTAATAGGCAGATTAATTTGATAAGTTGGCAGAAAATCTACACTATATCAAAAGTGTTGAATTTTATAAGAAAGAAAAAAAACAAACATTTATTGCAGCACATTCTTCTTCTGAAATCGCTTTCCGTCGCAAAAAAGCAGGCATTTCAGATTCATTAATAACTTCTCTTTTGTTAACTGAAGTTTTTTCTGAAAAACGCAAATTATTTCAGAGAAAGTACATTTCTCATTTTAAATGAAAAATTAATAAATGAAATTTTATTTAAAGCCCACAATTCGACTAATAATATCACCATTAAGTTACATATTAAAATTGAATTGCATGGACGCGATAACCAATAACAGATGGCACAAGAAAGAAATCTCATAAAAAATTTTAAAAAATCTGATATATTTACTTGAATGGAATTAAATGTTATTTTAATGACAAGATATACAAAAACAGTTTAAAACACTCACTTCCTTGTTCGATAATCAGCGGGAGTGGAGGAAATGATGATCTAAAAATGAAAACGCAAGTTAAGTTTTCTTATTCTTATTGAAACTACTTTAACCATATATGAAATAAATGAGTAATATGAGGCCAATGCAAAAAATTATGAATAATTTAATTAAAAAAGAGGAAATTTCATATACCTATCAAATTTCGGTTTAGGAAGACGAGGTCCAGCGAATTTTATCGTGACTGATCGCAAATGAACGGCAGTCTAAAGTATTTCTAAGTTAAAAAAGCTAAAATCAAGGTAATGCAAGTGTTTGCTAAATTTCAGAATTTATGAATAAACGAGAATTCCGACATGCACAATTAAAAGGACATTTCCTTCGAATTTTAGATTATTCAATCTGCAATTTTAATTGCACTTTTTTCTTATTTGAAATTTATTCATCTAATGTGAGAAAGGTGAAAAATATGCACTTTGCAATCTGAGCTAAAGATTTTGATCATTGCTGCTGCTAAGAACCATGGTAATGTAAAATAATGGTCAACAATGCTATGCTTCTTTCCTCTCATTCTTTTTCTCTTCCATTCTTTTCTATTTCTTTCCTGTGTAAATTTAATGTTATTATTAGTTTTTTTTTTTTAAAGAAAACGTTTTCCGTATATATATTCCGTTTATTCTATTTAATATCATCGTGCACTGATAGTTTGACAGGCTCCATTAGGTACTAAGACCACCATGCCTTCCGACTGGTTAGCACTCACCATTTCTGATCAGGTTAATTACGCTGGATAAAATGCCTCTGCCTCAATAGAAGTACTTGATAAAAGAAACAGAAATGGATCGTCAGCACCATCCAATCTTAGATAAAAAATGTTTGAACAAAGATAATTTCTCGATATTTCCCAATCTCACTAACTATTATCAATGTTTCACAATAGAAATACGCGTACGATAACTTTCGTCTTGGCTGATTTCATGGAATTTTCAGAAGAGTTTGACATGACGAAGGGAGCTCTTGTCTGCAGCCATCATCGCTGAGATTTTTAGGCAAGGGAATGGAACCGAGAAATTTTAAGCCTGACAGTTCTTGGATCAATGATAAATTCATAGAAGCAGTGAATTTGTTGGCATCTGCGATATAAAATGGGAAGAATTTTGACTAATTTCATATTAATTTAAAGGCTAATTTTCGCTACCTACCGATACCCAGCCATTAATGCATTGAATATTTTATATATATTTGCTCTATACACTCGCATGAATGATTTGCATACTTCTTGAATGCTGGCAAGGAATTCATATTTCAGTTTATCGCGTAGCAAAATACTTAAAGGGAAAAATGTCCTAAAAATCTCATTTCGAAATGATACCCACACTTGTGCTGCTGATATCTACGAATAAAATACTTTAATAAGTCTGATTATCTTCTTTGGAATATCGTCCTAATGCATGATTCGTCAAAGCATCGCTCTATCGATAGAATTAAAAGCACCACCTAATTCGATGAAGCACGTGAAAATGATAAATATTGGAATGTATGAAGAAATTTTATAAAAAATTTAAATCGCAAAATCGCAAATTTTCTGGAAATATGAGAAAAAAACCAACTCGATATAGAAAGGAAATGTATGTGTTATGCATCTGTGGATCAATTATTTCTAATAATAGAATATTTTATCGATAAATTACCCAAATAAGCTGCAAAATTTACTTTTCTATAATAAAAGGTGGTTAACATTAATACAAAATAAACTAAATTTAAGAAAATTCTGAAGCTCTGAAAAAATTTATGGAAAATTATTTTATAATGATTTACATGATTTACATTTGTTCATTTTCCTATAGGAATGCCATTTGCTTTAACCATTCATACCCAAGATGCATCCTACATAACCGCCAAGTGGCTAGAATTCTCACATGATTGCATTCACTTTAGCTCACATCTGCGTGAAGTACACCGTCACAAATCGTTATCTGCTTTTCGTCGCCTACCATAGGAACTGATATATCGCTACTGGCTAAACTTTGCGATGGATGGCATCAAAAGCGAGCTAATCAAGACCTGGATCGACACGGTCAGATGAAATTTTGAACGCAGCCCAGTACGATCCAAAAATGGTCAACTCCTTTTATTTACGTGAATAATATCGCACCGAGAGGCTCGGAAACCCTACTGCTGCCAGTGGAACGAGCCAAACCAGCAGTGATGCGAACTACCATCGAAAACTCTTTCAGCGAGTTAAACTAAACTATCCACACGCAATTCTCAATTCCTGCTTGAGCGACTAATCCGTGTTTAATGAACTGCCTTGAACTGCTGGAAATAAACGTTGCCATTAAAAGCGAGGCATTTCCAAGTATTCTATTCTCAATGGCAAAATAACTCCCACCAAAGTAATGGGTAAGTTGGCCAAATTGTAGCTCGCAAATGAAAAAAGGAGCCAAATTATTAAAATTAACCCAACCACCAACGAAAAAAAAAACTTAACCAAAATGGTACCCAGTGACTGACGGGAAGCACACCTATGACCAAAACTGCACAAAAAGATATTGCAATCAGACAATCGCTTCAGGACCAAAGTCGGACTCTTCTGAGAGGATGAGAAAGAAAGACCCACGTAAGAGTCGTTTGCTTAGGTGCATGTGGGACATCACTTGGGCTCCGTTTTTACGGGGATAACAGGTTATCCCCGCAGAAAGGACTTTGTTTTGCTGGTTTTCAAATATTTGTAAATATTTATTTTAGTAAATTTTTATTTATGTCGATTTTTTTCAATTTAATATTGTTTATTAAAATTTATATATTTAAGAACTTATAAATGAATTTTATAAATAAGAAATTTTACATCGAAGAATGGAAAAATTTAAACTATAGCGAATAATTTTTTTTTAATAGTAAATCGTCCATTTCATTATGTTTTCCTTATTTTCCTTACATTCTCGAATTGCTCGCACGATTTGTGGTTAGGCTGGCTTCGTTGGCTTCTTCCAGGAGGTGCTTCAAGACTGCCGATGCGTCACTCTCTTTTTCTCCTAAGTTCACATATTTATTTGTGCATTCGAAATCTTTCCTGACTCTACCGATTCATTTTTGATTTATCCTCACTATTGACACCGTCTGTGAGGGTTCAGTTTAATAAATAACGAGAGAACATGGCTCATTATGTTTCCCACATTTTCATCCTTTATCGATTAACAGAAATATGTAGGGGCAGGAAAAGTGGAAACGAAGGAAATATGATCGAGATGGTCTTACGGTGAAGTTTCTAGATTATAGACCCGTTAAATCGATAAATATTTGGTTTAATATAATGAGGATCGAAGTTCAAGTCAAAATATTTTTACAAAGTTGATTTCTGCGTTTTACGAAAACCTCTGGAGCTTTTTTAAAAGCTTTTATTCTTCCGAGTTGCATTAAAGCTTGGATAAGAGATTATTATTAGAATAAAAATCATTTATCAGTTATCCAATAAGGTGCCAGGCTTACTTGTTGCCGATATAGCAGAGAGGAGAAGGCATGCATATTGTGTCGAATAGGACGAGTACGAGTTTACGGTAGCTTGCAACTAGATTTGTCACTACCTGGCTTGTGTTAATATGTACTTATTACGAAGTGAATAATGAGAGATGAAAGTAGAATTATCGGAGAAGAAATAGTCTGAGGGCGAAAGATAAGGCCTATAATTGAGAAGGAAATAGAACAGCGGTTGGAGAAATGTGAATGGAGAAACCAGAGTTAGCGCGTTAAATTTTATTGCCTTAGGCAGTCATTACTACTGTTGCCACTGTTCTCCACGGCCTAAGCTGCAATTTTTCAAGCCTATTGAAAAAAGTGCAATTAAAAAATTGAAAAAAATCCTTGCACCACAACAAAAAAATAAGTCTAATTGCTCACGCCGGTCTAAGAAAATTGAAAATTGAAAAAATTTGAGTTGAAAAATTTGAAAAGAAGGATAAACACTAACTGTCTTTTGCGATTTTTACTTATGGGATAGAGAGATGGCTAAAGGCAGCGAGATGGTCGAGTGTTTCTTTTAACAGTTATCACCATTACTGGTTAGGCTGGCTCCAAGGGCTACTAAGGTAAGACGGGTAAGACGTTTCCAAGTGGCGCGGTTGATGCCATTGTCGACAGTAATAGAAGCCATTCCTTTTTCCATCGTCTAAGCCCATATATTGCTGATCCATCTATAAATATTTTCTGACCGTTCCAGATTTTGATTGCCCTACTTCATTTTGACGCATCACAGGGTTTAGCAAATAACGAAATATACGTCAACTCCTGTGGTGGGCGACGAAAAATACCCTAACCGACGAAGTCGATGCTCTGTGATAATGTCATAAATGGTATTTGAACGAAGATGCGATCATGTGATATTTTATCCGGTCGACGGACCCGTAAAATGTACCTTAGATAAGAGTGGTCAAAGGCAGATAACTTCTTAATATTTTCCACTCTCATTGACCATGCCTCAGAGCATATAGCAAGATCGAACGAATCACAGCTACATAGATGCGGGCTTTCGTTTTTATGGTGATTTCACGACGGATTCATAAAGATTTATCCCGGAGTCTTATTGGCTTTAAGCTCATGGATAACGAATATGATTATTTCTTCTTCTCTTGGCAGTTGCAAGCAAAACGTATCAGCTATATCAGGGGCAACAGCGCTCCGTGGTCAAGTTTGGCCTAAAAGAATTCTTTCCATCTTATGAGGTGGTTCTTAATATTGTTAATCGGCAAGCCATTGCTGTGTGTTACCACTTCATTGATCGTTTCCCCGAGTTACAGTTGCTCTATGAAGAAGGCGGAATAATTTCCTACTGTCGCCTAATTGAGCAGCCGTTTCCATTCTCAGAGCCTTGTCACTCTAATAGTGATTTTTGTCCCGCCGTGCTACTTTCATTGCAAATCTTCTAGGTATCTCGTAATCACCTGGCATTCGTGTTTTGGCAGCTTTTTCAGACAATTGTTACAGTTGTTTCAGATACTCAACTGGCCCCATCCATACTAGTATACCCTAGGAGTGGCTTTTCGGGAATATTCCTTTAGTTTGGATTAATATTCATTTGCCGTCCCAGAAAAATCATTGATATTTGTTATTGAGATGCTTTTATAATTCGGTTTGAAATGCGCTCACTATCCCCGAATTTTTTAGTTTGAGGTAGTTGAAAGATTTCCGGGGATGATGTTTTGTGCGAGTTGTCAATTTTTATGCGGATCTTTGCTCGAACCATAACATGGCAGATCCATGAAGAAGATGAAGATTGCCCGTTTCAGCTCCACGATAGGAACGACTGTCTAGTACGGAACTCTTCCAACGGTGATGATATAATCAAGATATAATCAGTCTGTTTGAAGTGTTGGTTATCCGGAAAGTTCCACGTGACCAGATGTTTTTACGACGCCGAAAGCAAGTATTAGTAGCAAAAAGTTCATGCTCATGCTCTAATGAAAAAGTTTCTCGTTGGTGCACCGTTCTCCGATGCCACATTTGCCAATTGTCGAGGTCATCGCAGCAGCAATATGACCTGCGCGCTCATTCCAGTCTCCCTTGATTATGACCATATCATATTTCGGTAGAAGACTTTGTTAGCAATTGAAATTCCGCATAGAACTTATCTTTATCACGGTCTGCCGATAGAGTTGGAGCATAGACACTTATGATCGAGATATTGCAGAACTTACCCTTAAAACGGGATGGGCCATACGGTCGTTTACCGGTTTCCACTCAATCAAAGTGGAATGGGCCTTGTCAGACATGGCAATCGCTACGCCATTTCATCCCGATTTATTCGAAACACCACAGTGATATAGCCAATATCTCTGCTCTGAATTAATCACCAGGATTAACCAAGATTAATTGTTCGAGACCTAAAGTGAGGAAGACGGGCCTCCGACAAGCAAGTGACCACACGATAGGCTGCAATGTCCATAAGCATTCTCACGTTCCATGCTGATACGGCTAATACCTCACTGCGCGTCTTGCCAGTACATTTTTTTTTGTCAGCCTTGGAATTGCTTTACGCCTAAATTGTATACTTATACTCATGTTCATGCGTGTCGGAAGATGCGGACAGTGTATCAAGAATATCTGACCCTTTCACCATAGAGTCACTTGGGGATAGTAAGTGGGTCCTCGACAACTATTCAGATTTTTGGACAGGTTTGTTCCTGGGAACCGAACTTCAGCACCAGCATTCCCAATCGAGCAACAACCCACTGAACCATTCTATCGCCAATAATGTATATATTTATATATACATATGTATATATTATTTCAATTCTTATTAAATTTATTGTTAAATTTTATTGTTTATTAAATTTAAAGAATAAACTTAGATCGTATTTTATTGAAATTCTAAAAATATTTCGAAAAATAGTGTGAAAAATTATCAGCAGAATAAAAATGAAACCGCCCAAGAATCGAAAATCTTGAAATTTATCGAGTATTTCTTCTACACAGATTACATTTTGAGTTCGCTTGCTCTTCCTAGACTTTAATCTTACCATTAGAAGTAAATCCTGGGCTATACTGGGGCTCATCCCTTAAATTTTGATAAAACTTATTCATTATTGTTAAGAAGTTAATTGGTTACATATTAAAGGAAAATAATGCGAACTTAGTTCAGTTCGAACGAAATAATGTATGGAAAGAAATCAACAAAACCACAACAAAAACAGCTGAAGTCAGTGCTCTTCGAAGTATTTGATACGATTTTGGGAATTTTTGTACAGATTGCTCGGAAATATCTTTTTATTGATGCACAGAGAAAAGCGATATTTTATCTAATTATTATTACTGTATTATCGCTTATTTCAGCTATCTTCCCATTTCCAGAATTTTTCTTCACTCGAGTTTGTTTTTTTTTTTGATTTTAAGAAATTTCTAACATCTAGCACCGTTTCTGGTTTGATTGGCTGTGCTGGCTATCAGGCTAAAATGCTTCGAAGCCTATCGACCCAAAGCCATGCTTTAAACTAGCTGAAGCCATTTTTTTTTTTAGCACCCAGGCTCACAAGCAGCATAACTGAAAAAATTATAGTAAACTGATCACGATTGATCACGAATTAAATTAAATTAAATTGGATTTAAATTAGATTTTGATTTTTGGTAGCATAATAGTTTCAGAAAGGTTTTTTGCTTTTGTGCTATTTCCTATCCTTTATTTTTTTTACAGAAAGACTATTTTTTAAATAAATATGGCGTAAAATTGGGCTGGTTCTGGACATGCTCCTTTATTTGTCCATTTTTATATTATGCAACATTGGTTCATAAACAGAATTGCAAAAGTAAGTGTTTTTTATATTTATTCAATTATTTTTATTGTTAATCTTTTATGGAATTCTGTGTCTTTAAAATATTTATTTGAAATATTTTATATTTGAAATTATTTATAAGATATTTGAAATTGGTAGCGACAAATTCTTTTTTTTTTTGTTTAGCAGTTTTGCTTTTCAGATATAGCATTACATTTAAGTCGAATAATGATTTCAACCAGCCTATGGTATTTTTGTACTAATGGGTATATTTTTTCGATTTTTAAATCTTTAATTTTTATTGTTTTTTTGTGAGCATATTTAATTTTAAACTGTATTAAAATATTGATTATAGTTCCCTTCAGATTTGTTGCAGTGGAACATATGAGTGCATATTGTTATGGTGCAAAGACAAGCTCTAGAAGCGATTGTGCTAGCTGTGGTGGGAAATGGGTCCCCGGTTTCGATATCAGTGGGCATTGCTTCTTGCTTATTTATAGTATCCTTATTATTTGTGAAGAGGTTGGCAAATTTCTTCCTCGATTTGAATTATTTAAAATGGTCGTATTATTTTTATGATTCTTTCTTAGTTGATTTAGTCATTGGCATTTCGCAGTTTACCCTTCTTTGTGGTGAAGAAAAAAATGGCTACAGAAAAGATGGCAGCTTCATATGAAATAGCAGTTATTGTCAAAATATTGTTTATTTTTATCTTTTTTCTTCACATATTATGGGTATTTTTTTTATCAAAGATTTCACACCTTTAATTTTCATAAAATGAGAAAATGCATCTTCGTTAAATATTGATATAAAAAAAATTTTTCTAATTCTTATCTTTTCGGTCGCTTACCCATTTAAATACTAGGAAAAACTCTTTTTTTGTTTTTTTTTGGTTCTTACCTGCTTTTACTTTTTATCTCTTATCTTCATCGAAATCTTTTAAGAAATATTTTTCAGTAAAAATTTAAGGATTTTGAACTAATGGTGTCGGTGATCTATTATCATCGTATTTCACACAAGGTATTGGGCACCTTAGTTGCTATATTTTGTTGGTTTATAACTTATCGACTGTGGTACCCATCAATAGGGCTGCCACCAATGCCAATAAATTGAAAAATCCGATTGGTTTAGAGCCAGTGGTATTTTTTTTCTAATTTTATTTTGGATAGCAAGTTTGTTTGCTTCATAAATTACGTAGAGACTTATGCATCCTATTATATATTTTTGTATGAAGTTCTTTTACGTTTTAATTTTTTTTCAGTAAAATTCAGTTTCAGCATGGAACATGGATTATGGTGGTTTTATCAAGAAAAAGGATTAGAGTAGTGCAGCACTTAACCGTAAATTAAAAATATTAAATATTTCCATTAAGACAATTTTTAAAATTTTTTATTCCTGTATATTTTTAAAATTTTTTATTCCTGTATAAAGTTGTATAAAATATTTAAACATTGCATAAAAAATAGGCTGTCCGCTATGCTTTTCCCCCTGTAGAAAGTATAAAATTTATTATCGTTTAAATAAAGTATCATCCAATATGGTAGTGTATAAATTTAAAGTAATAATGTAATAATAAAAGTACTTAGAAGAACTATTTCAAATGAATGTAACGAATATAAATACTAAGGCAAATATCGTTGTGGTTCTATAATCATCTTTCACGATAAAATAAAATGAAAGAAAGAAGATAAGAGATGGATCCGTTTTCCTTTGAGTTTTACAATGCTTATATTGTTATTAAGGTTATATTGTTACAGTAGACAGAGAATAGAATAAATCTATTAATAGGCAGTGGCAAATCTTCATTCACTCAAAATTACCACTTATACGGTGAAAATCAGTACTCGGAAAAAACCAAAACAGAATGTTATAATAACTGAGAGTTTATACAGGAAACAACGAAGTACCAAAGCAATTATCAAAACATACTACCTACCCTATGAATTTTTTTTATATAGAATTTATTTAAAATAATAGATAAAAAAAAGAAAAAAAGAAAAATAAAACAACTAAAGCAACTAACAAAAATATTTTGAAGAAAAATTTTTCTATTCTATTATATAAGTGATACTAAAAATTCAAACTCAGATACTAGAAATTTCCTCAATTGTGCCACGTTTAAGGGTAAGGGAAAAAAAGAAAAACGAAAAAAATTGGACTGACGAAATAATAAACGGTTATTGTCTTCACAATAAGATGAGACAACAATGTGTAATTATATTAAAAATTTTCAGGAAATCTTCTTACCATATAATTTTTTTACGAATACTTCTTTATAAATTAATTTTTCAGATGGTCGAGACAAATACGTATAATTTCTTTGACAATATTTATGAGAACTTCTTCGGTACAAATTTCATCAAACTCCGGAATATGAACAAATAATGACTTTTCTCTACTCCTATTCAACGATATATAATATGCATATGCACATAGATATCTGAAAAGTAAAATAAATAAACTAAATAAACTGATAAAGTCTGTAATTAATTTAGTGAATCGCATTTAAGATTTAAAATTAGTTCAATTTCAATTTAATAAATTCTAATAAGAATTTAATGGATTTTTAAAAATAAATTTGGTAAAGGATGGTGGAGACCCACTTAGATTCACATCCTCAGAACGGATGCCACCGTAATAATCAGTCAGTGTAGCGTTGCGAGGCAAAAACGATAAATGTTGAATTGAAGAAAAAACGATATAGATTAACCTGCCAGGATCATTAGATGATTCAATTTTTATGCATTTATAAGGAATATTTTCGGAAACATTCTTCGCTATTAATTTACAGTCAAAACCAGAACAAATGTTTTCGGCTTGAAATTTGCAAAGAGAATCAGGACAAGTATGATTTGCAGGTACATTACCTTAAATTTTACGTCATATATTAAAAATAACATTTGAAAACAAATTCCGTCAGAATAAAAACCTCTTTTTCATCTATTCTTCAATAAAATATTGGATATGATTCAGCATAAGCATAGGTTCCATTACAAAATAGCAGGACCATACACAATTATCCTCAAATGCAAAAGATGGGAAAGACCGAACTAGAACCATTCTCGATGAGTTATTTTCACAAAGGCTAGTCATGATCACAATTATAAAAAATAAGAGAATAAAAAAGAAATAACATTTTACATCCGGTAGACAGTAATAAACTTTCGAACTTTGCTGTTCCAATGTAATTAAATGAGTTCGTTGATGAACACCGAGGTGTATTACAAGCTGAAAATTTTGTTTTATTGAAATTTCATTGAAATGAATTCACTTTCATCTGGAAAGATTTTCAGCAATTTATTTACCGAGAAAGTCGCCCTTTTCCTTAAATTGAATATTACGGCAAACGATAGTAGCAAATGAATGTTGCATAACTTAACATCTCAAGGTTCTCATGATTCTTTCTCTTTTCCTAAGCAGGAATAGATCATCCATGATTAAGAAATATTATTATCGCATACTCCAGTAGCCATTTCTATATTCAAAGCCAAATTAGTCCAATGACATCGTGCCGCTGTTACTGCACGTTTTCAAAGTACCTTCTAGCTGCGATCTTGTATAGCTTGTTAGCTTACACTATGACTAGTTACAATGGCTGCAAGATGGGCTTTCTTGCTTCCATGATTCTCGGTCCCAGCACTAACTGATCAAATCTTTGTTTTTATCATTTTTGGGCAGATGGACCATTGCTCTCGATATTTCAATATCACACATCACATATAACTAATTTCAATATCACATATTCTTCTAATTATTACCATTACTGGTTAGGCTGGCTCCAAGGGCTACAAGAGTAAGATATTTCCAAGCGGCGTGGTCTGAGATGTCATCGTCGACAGTAATAGAAACTTCCTTTTTCCATCGTCTAAGCCTATGCCCATATATTGCTGGTCCACCTATACGTTCAAAATATTTTCTGACCTTATCAGTCTTAAAAGTCTTGATTGTCCCACTTCAGTAACGAAATATGCGTCAACGCCTGTGGTGGGCGACGAAAAATTTGCCCTAAGCAACGAAGTCGACGCTTGTGATAATGTCATTAATGCATATGGTATTTGAACGAAGGTGGATGCGAACACGCGATATTTTTTATGGTGATTTCAAAGGAGTCTATCAGTTCTCCATACATGGAACTGCGCCGATGAATGCTGATAAAATGCTTTATGAGTCGAATGATCTTCAATGGAACATTCCATAACCTTCCAAAGCGCATTTTTATCAATAGAATCAAAGGCACCCGCAAAGTCGATGAAATACGTGGTAGACTGTAAATGTTTGAAGCGATGTTTCAACACCTTTCTTGACGTGAATATCTGGTCAGCACAACTGCCCCTCGGTCTGAATCCAGCTTGATTAGGGCGCATCCTGCTGTCTCCCGTACTTCCATAAATCTGTTGAGTAAAATGGAAGTAAAAATTTTCGCTGAAACGTCTAGTGGTTGATTCCTCGATAATTGTCACAGTATGTCCTATCACCTTTTTTGAGAATTGGGAGCAAAATTGCTTTGCTCCAATCATCTGGTCCAATATTTCCTTTTCCCATACCAGAGAATACATTTGTTGAATGTGCGCTATGAAGGACGATGGATAACATTTGATGAGTTCAGCCCAAAGATCGCCTTCTTCCGGAATCTTACTGATCCTAAGCTCATGGATAAGGGAGATTATTTTTTCTTCTTTTGGCAATTGTGAGCGTGTGGTTCGAAAAACGTATCGGCTATATCAGAGAGAACAGATGACGCTTCATGGTTAGGTATGGCCTAAAAGTATTATAAATTAGTGTCGATGTGACTGATCTTCGAATACAAGTCTTTAGTTTGGAGGCATACTGCGCAACCCCATTGGCCAGATCTGAAATTAAGATCCAGATCTAGCTTCGGTGCAGTTATGTAGCACAGTACTCTTGTAATGATGACTGATCAGCATGTAATCAGCTTGGATGATCAGTTAGTTTCACGTGGTAAGATTTTTTCTCATGCTTGTCGGCAAAGGGAAAAAAGGTACTCTCCATTGGCATACTGGACTAAGACGCTATATCTAACAACTAGAGAACCCATCGTGATCAAACCAATTTCCTTGATTATGACCATATCATTTTTTTGAAAATAGTGTTAGGGGTGAAAATAGAGTTGAAGTTCCGTAAAGAACATGGCTCTGTCAAGGTTATCTTCACATAAAAAAGTAGCACACAAATCGTTGACCCAGACTCTGCAAAATTTCCCGTTAGACCATCCAGTCAAGCAGGTTTCCATTAAATCAGAATGAGCCATTTCGTCCCGATCATCCAGTGATTAATTAAATTCATTAAATAACAATGACTGACTTTAAAATCCTCAGAATTAATTTGCTTAGCAGCAATATTTACTGTATTAAATTACGTAATTACGTAAATTTAAATACTCGCAAAAAGAATTTAAAATTTGTTACTTTTCACTGCAGCCTACTTGTCTGCGAGATTTAAAGCAAACGGAATGATATCAAATCTATATCATAAGTAGCCGCGCGGTAAATAAAATGACAAATGATACTGAAGCCATAAGAAAACCTACATCAGGATTATGGTCCGACCACAATTTGGGTATGACTGATTCGACTTCATCATAGGCAACGTTCAACACTTCGGTGATCAACTTCAGGTTCACACCAATTTTGCCAAGGCCTGTGCAAGAAATTTTAATAATCAACTGAATTTGTTCCACTAGACATGAGAAAATTCCATGAACTACTTATAAATTAAAAAATAAAATACTAAATAAATTAAAAGATAAAATATTAAAAAATGAAAGAACTTAGCAGCAATTAAAACAATCGCATAATTATTCTAAGCTTTATTGTGAAACAATTTAAATTTTGAAAAATTTTGAAAATTTTGACCTTCTCTTTCGATACGGCGGACGATAATTCCACTAGGATTCGTCTTAAAATGATCAAAAGCTGTAAAACCTGTTAGAATGATGGTACGAGAATTATTGCTGCTATTATCCGTCCCAACCTGAAATCTAACAAATCGCCTGGAACTTGAGATTAGCCATCATCCCGCCTTCTAATCTGTCTCACCACCACAATGAAACAATTCGACCGTAACCTATGGAAGAAAATTCGACGCCATTAATATTCCAACCCTCTATTAACCAGAATTTAGCTTAGAACCATCATTTCAAAAAAAAGCCTGACAAAATCAAAACAGTGCTTACCTGCGCATCAGCCATTCACTTTCAATATAACTTAGTGCCCCTCATATGTTGATAGGCTCTTCCACATTAAACGTTTTCGTTTCAAGAGTCAACTTTAAGGTAACTTTTCGAATATTTCACTAGCGTCTTCGAAGGCATTTGAAAGCCTGATGGAAACTATGAAATTGTTTCGATAATCTGATAAACGTTTCTTTACAAAAAATTTGGTGAAAAAAGGTACATGAAACGAAACCGAACCTTCTTGGATTCACGGATCCACTATAGTCAATAAGTCCATTTAACAGGTGTTCTTGCAGAGTCTCAATAACCATCTAATAGCAATCTTAAACTAAAAAAACCTAGTGTTCTAATGTGTTGTCGGCGCATATTCTTCTTTGTTAATTACTTTTCTCCTTAATTGAGAAATAACTTCTTATATTTTGCTTAATAAATTTATTGCAAAGCCTTGCAACTTAAACTTCTCTGATCGACACAGTTCAAGTAAGAGAAAGAACTTCTTTGAAAAATTTTTTCAGAATTTATGGAAGTATTGAAAAAGCAAATAATAAAAAAAATTTCCCTAAACAATAAACAAGCATCAAAAATAAAAAAATTCTTTATAATATATACAAAGAAATTTTATAATAAAATAAAAGGTACGTACCTTTTAATTAGGCCAAATTCTTATTAAAATTTTTCTTTTAAACAAAAATTAAAGAATTAAACATAGAAATAAAAGATAAGGAAAGAAAAAATATTTTATTATTTTAATATTTTAAAAAATAGCCAGTGCTTCGAATATCAGAATATAGCCTAAAGATAAAAATTTTTTTAATTAACCAGGAGGCCAATTCATCTGACGGCCAGCAAGTACATGCAAATGAAGGTGATAAACACTTTGACATCCGTGTTTTCCATTGTTAATTACAACTCTATAACCATCCTTTAAATCGAGTGATTTTGCGATTTTGGCCACTGTTAACATTAACTTGCCTAGTAAGGCTTGATCCTGAAACAAATATTTCGTGAAAAATATTAATGAATCTTCCTTCACATTTTCATAACATTTTTAAAATACATAGGCATATCTATATTTTACATCTGTTTAACACCTGCATTCTGAAGTAATTAAAAAGGTATGAAAAATTTTTGCCAAGAAACGACTTGGGAATTGGTTTTCAACTACCATCGAGATTTTTTAATAACAAGTCTGCTCCTATCGGAGATATGGTCTAAGCCTACTTATTACTGCTCAAAGCGACAATTCGCTTTATGCATTTTATGGTACTTTTAACTGTTGTACCTCATTTAAAAATTATGAATAACTAGAAGATAAAAGGCCAAATGAAACGTAGAATAAAATAAATAAAAAATAAAATATCCTTCATCGAAATCTATCAGAGCAACTTTCAAGGCTATCGTAATGAATTGTAAAGAAAACTTCTTGAATTTGACATTCGAAAATAAAATAAAAAATAAAATATCCTTTATTGTAGTCTATCAAAACAATTTAAAGGAATTCTTTTATCAAAAAATTTTAAAAAAATACAGAAATAACCAACACTATCATCAGCAGCTTGTAGCATTTCAATAGGCTTTTTTGGGATCACAAGGAAATGCACGGGAGCTTGAGGATGCGCATCATAAAACGCCAAAATCTGCACAAAACCCGAACTGTTTATTAAATTTAGGAAAAATATAATATTACAAAAACATAGAAACAAAACATATTTATATAGTACCTTACTCTTACCTTACCCTTATTTTATATATAAGGTCACTATAGCTATCTAAACATTCCGTGGAGCACATATGCGTACTCTTTTGTTTTTTTTCGTTCTTCTTTGGACTATATGTTCTTTATTAAACATAAGCAATATCTCAAATCTTGGAATAAACATTGATGAAAATTTTGACCTTCAAGGCTATCGTAATGAATTATAAAGAAAACTGAAAACTTCATAAATTTGATATTCAAAAAATGAAAACAAAATGAAAAAAATGAAAATGAAAACAAAACAAAATATAAAACTACAGCACAACACAGTATACAATACATTGCTACTCCCGATATCAGGCGATAAATAGTTTATAGGAACATTTATTGCAAAAATAATGCAAAATCTTTCAAAAATTATAATTGCAAAGTTGATTTATATAAAACAGACCTTCAAAAATCAACAAAACCACACCTTTACTTCCTGGAACTTCGTCACACCAATTTAGAATGCAATAGATTTTAGAATTTTTATTCAAATTTTGCAATAAGCAATGTCTTCTTCTTCTAACAATTCTTATTACTGGTTAGGCTGGCTCCAACGGTTATAAAGGTAAGACGTTTCCAAACGGCGCGATCTGAGCCATTGTCGGCAATAACAGAAGCCATTCCTTTTTCCATCGTCTAAGTCCATCTATTGCTGGTCCACCTATGCGTTCAAAATATTTTCTGACTGTATCAGTCCAAGTCTTGATTGGCCCATCTCGCTTTTGACGAACCATCACACGGTTTAGCAAGTAACGAAATTTGCGTCAACTCTTGTGGTGGACTACGGAGAACGTGCCCTAAACAGCGAAGGCGACGCTCTATGATAACATTATTAATACAGATAGTGTTTGAACGAGACGGATGCGATCAGGTGATACTTTATCCGCTCGACGGACCCGTAAAATAAGCCTTAGACAAAAGTGGTCAAAGACAAATATCTTCTTAATATCCTCCACTTTCATTGGCCATGTAGCAAAATCACGAATTAGGATAGAATCCTTCCCTTTCATTTGGAATCACGGCTATACAGATACGTACTTTTGTTTTAATGGTAATTTTTCATGACAGCTCCATAAAGATTTGGCCAACCGGAAGAACGCATTTCTAGCTATCGTGATCTGGGCTATATCGTCTTTTGTCTGGCTATTTGGTATTAGAGTGGACCCAAGGTATTTAAAAAATGTATAAATTATTATATAAAAAAGATCCCATCTTTTTTATTCATATTACTGGAATAAATTACCCAAACAAGCAGTTCCAACTCCATCCGTATCTTTAATCTTTAAAACATTTAAATCAAAATTATCCATAAAATTATTTACCTTTACAACCTCAACTTCTCAGCAAACTTTTGCATTTAAAACTCTTATAATTGGACTTCTGTTTTGATTTTATTATTATTTTATTTTTATTATTTAATAAAAAATGTTGTTTTTGAGTAAATGATAAAATTAAAAAAAACCTCATCATCCTCCAAAATAATTCTTACAGGTATTTCTTTTCGAATAATCTTACCAAAAATTGTATCACCACCAGGTTGTGCTTCTTGCGCTCGTTTAACTTCAAACGACATCACTCTTAAAGAATGATTATGAGACGAAGTTGAGTTCGACCCTGAACTCGAACAAAGAGCACGACTGGATAGCAAAATACTTGTTAATGATGATCGTAATATGAGGTAGTGACAATAAATATACGAAAACATCGAAACACCTTGAAAATTTTCAATATCTTTTTGGAATATTTTTCCCTTAACGAATATATAGTTTTAAAAGAAAATATCATTTGAAAAAAAAATAAACGAATTATCGCTCTTTAAAAAATGCAACCCTATAAATTCCTTATAAACATTACTAAGGATCATGCGTTCTTCAATAATATTTCTGACCAACTATTAGGACAGAATCCTTCCCTTTCATTTGGGAATAAAAGAGCAGAACAGGCATCTCTTGCATCACTTGAAATAAGATATTCTCCTTCTTCTACTAGCACGATTTGGCTCGCTCCACTGGCGACAAGGATTAGACCAATAATGCACAACTCCTGGCTCATTCTAAAAATCTCTGCTATAGCCACAAAGTAACTGCTCGAAAAAAAATGTCAGGGAAAGAGCTGCTTTTAGATAATTTGGAGCGCATGGCCTTTGGCTTCTCCAAAAGAAAATTCCGCAATATTTCGATCAACTGCGTATATGCTCAAATTTTATGCGCAAATGACCAAGAAAAGAATAGGCCCTATGCGAAATTTCAACTATTAAAAACTAACAATATCTAATAACAATATTCTTATATCCATAATTAATAAATATATCGAGCTGAACTCTTCAAATGTTGTTCTTCATAGCGCATCTTCAAAGTACTTTCTGGTATGGAAAAAAGAAATATTACTAGATGATAGGAGCAAAGCAATTCTGCTCCCAATTCTCAAGAAAGATGATAGGACATATTGTGACAATTATCGAAATCAGCCTACTAGACGTCTCAATGAAAATTTTATTCGACTACTTTTTATTCAATAGGCTTATGGCACAATATGAGACAGTAGGATGCGCCCTAACCAAGCTGGATTTAAACCGGAAGTGCTGACCAGATATTCACGTTAAGAAAGGTATTGGAACATCGCTTAAAATATTTGCAACCCACCGTTTTATCGACTCTGTAGCTGTCTTCGATTCAATTGATAGGGCAACGTTCTGAAGAGTGGAATGTGACGGTGTTCCACAGATCATACGACTGATAAAGTCAAAGTATATCTGCATATAAGTGACAGGCTCTTTAAATATCTTGAAATAGGAACTGGTGTCCATCAAAACTGCGTCCTTTCCCCTATAATATTCTATGCGATATTGATACTGAATAACGGACGCAATAACAATAACAGCACTCAAGAAGTGGGGAAATTAATCCACAGCACAGTACCACAGACCTAAAATATGCTGATGATTTGGTCCTTTTTGCTGATAGTTATGACGAAATGCAGATAATGCTAAACAATATGCAGCGAGAACTGGACTTAAGATCAATATAAATAAAATAAGTCTTTTCGCATTACATATAAGAAATTAATAAAATACCTAAATTCATTGCCGGTTGAAAAAATGCCAGACTTTAAATATGTTAGATCCACTCTGATCTCAAACGACTAAGCAAAAAATTACAATTATATACTTTCTTCAGAATGATAAAAATTATAGATTCATCGTAAAATCACTATAAAAATGAACGCCTACATCTATATAGTTCGATTTTGTATGGCTGCGAGGCATGACCAATGAAAGTGAAGGGAATTAAGAATTTAGTCTACCTATGACTATTCATTTTACGGGTTTCACCAAGTGGACAAAATCCCACATAACTGGACGCTCAAATACCACTTACATTAATACCATCACCACCACAGAGCGTCGCCTTCCTTTACTAAACTTTGTAATGGATGGTTAAAAGCTAGAAATTTGAACTGATCAAAATCTGAACTGATACAAAAATTAGATGCAGCAGCTTGGAAACTCTTACCCTTGTAGCTAATGGAGGAAGCCTAACCGGTGATGGTGAGAGCTATTAGAAGAATATTTCACACCACTAATTGTCAGTTACAATTTTTTTAACAACAATAAATTATATCCAATCACGATTCATTTTTATAATAATAACTACAAAGAAAAACTGATAAAAAATTGAAAAATATTTTTATTTTTTTCAGAAGTTGATAAATACTCATTGCCGACAGCTGACTAAAAATAAATTATATTTGGTTCTTTATATATAAAATGATGTGCATATCTAAGCTGGATGTAAGCCTTATGATCCGATACCATTTCTGAAAGGAACTGGAGCTTTTTTCACCATTTAAGACTGCATATCACTAGGCCATCTCTATATTCAAAGTCTCTTTTAACTGTACTAGTCCAGACCTTGTTGGACTGCCTCGCTTTCAATCATAACAAAATATAGCAAGTAAATGTGCGTTAATCTTTGTGCCGAAGAATATGACCAAATCAGCATGCGACACTTGTGACGATATTGTCAATGCATATGGTTTTCGATCGAAGATGTATGCAGTCATGATACTATCACTTGACAAATAAGCGGGATGTATCCTAGGCAAGAACAGTCATAGAAAGATTGCTTCATGCTGTTTTCATTCTCACTGGCCAAGTTTCGTAGCAGTTTGTGCATTGTGCGTATTATAGCCAGAAAATGCGAATTTCTGTTTTGAGGTTGATTTCGCATCACTTTACGATTCTAAAGGCCATGCAATTTCATCTTTTGTCGGGCCTTTAAGAATGACCAGTGCGTATATTTAAAATCTGACAAATTTCGATCACTGATAAATTTATTCCAATTGCAATCTTACCAGTGTTTGATAAAGATCAAAAGAGTTTCGTCATATTTATACTGATTTAAAGATTTATTTTCGTTATCACACTGATCTGTTGCTTTCCAACCGTCAGCGAAAAGAACAACACCAGTGTATTTAACATTGGTGATACTATGCTCTGGTTGACTTGTACACCTACTGTCGGCAAGCGGTATCCATAACCCAATCTGTCGCACAGTTAAAAATTATAAAAGAGAGAACATATCACTTGACATACATATACCTTTATGTAATTCAAAAGGTCGTATCCCCCATACGAACATATCTGTACTAACATATGCCGATAAATTCCCACCGATGGGTAAGAATCGAACTCATAATTTATTACTTAACCCTTTGGTCAAAGCAACATTAAAGTCGTCGCGATTCTATCCTCTCACCTCTAAATTCTCCTCCATCGCTTTCTGTTCAAAAGGAAGTAAGAAAGAAAAACAAAGAGAGGGCAAGATAAAGAGAGGACGCGCAGCATCGGCACGCTATCCCTCATTTCTTATTTCGTTTTTTACCTATAGACAACGCGTTTTCTTCGTGGCCACGCATGAAGAAATGCATAGAATATCTCCCACGCAATGGCGGTTCTTCTGTCGGACTGCAGCTCTGGATTTGACTACGTCCTAACACGCACGTCAAAGTCCTATGCCAACAATAACAACAGGTTCGCGTATGAAAAAAAAATTGAAAGAAACATGCACCACTTACAGCAGTGATTCCGTGCTTCCTTTGAACTCAGCCAGGGTTTTTTAAATAAAAAATAAAACAACTGACTTAAACAAGCAAAAGTCCAATGCTAAATCAAACTTACCACCTATCTCAGTCGTGCTTTTCACCTTTTGCTGGCGTGCAGTGCAGGGCAGTCGAGTGGCTGCTGCTGTTGCTCCATTGTCGCCTCGCCGTCGCGATTCCCGTCCTCGCTCAAGTAAACCTGCCAACGCGCGTGGTACGGGGACTCACCCCTATTTCCAACGACAATGAATTCCTCATCAAATTACAGCAGAGCGAACTTAATTAGAAACAATGGCCATTGACCACTAAGCGTACAATTAAACTTTCATCCATACATTGGATAGATTTAAGAAAAAAACGCCTCAAATTTACAACTAATCGAACGAACAACTAGTAAAAACCATGATAAAAGGTTTCACAGGAAATGAGAATTTCCCTTCCTTCAAAAGCTGATCTTTAATAATTATTTGAGATTTACTAATGATCAGCCGATTGTGAACGACTTACTGATAATCCGTCTGTTCATTTCCTTTTCAAACGGTGATCGCTATTTGAGGGGTGTAGTGGCTAATGTGATGGGTTCCTTGCGTGCCTTGGAATGGAACGGACGAGTCGGAATAGGGATAGGGATGCGTAGCGTCTGCAGACTGACTCTTTCTAACTGGAATCAAGCCTGTGAATGTTAAACTTGAAGCGTCATACCGCTCAATATCTTGTCGCTGGCCTGTTTTTTAGAAAGAGTTCAGCATGGGTGCTTGGACTCGCTCTGTCGGTTTTTTAGACTCTACGAATTTTGTCTGGGAGTCGGTCACTCTGCGATAGAGGTGCGGATGAGTCACTGGCGTCACTCGGATTTTTGAGGTTTACTTGTGCTGATGGATGGATGGATGAACTGCAACGTCGAACATAACAAATGAAAATGAACATAACAAACTGAACAAAAACCCACTTAGCCATTTTACCTCATTTTGCTGTTGCCACTCGACATTATCGCCCGACAAAGCGTAGCTGGATTTGAGCCATTTTCTCGATGCCACTTATATTGCCACTGAACCAGCTATTCACCAAACCTGAGCTATTATTGATCGATTAATTAGTCTTTGAAATTCTTAGGTTTTTATCCAAATTCGTTTTTCATATTTTTGTTTATTTTCCGCAGTTTCACTGAGAATAATCGTTGAAAAAATCGTTCACTGATTTCATTGATCATTGATTTTACGTTTCATATAAATTTATTCAGCCGAGGAGCAAGAGGAGTAGTTCGTTCCATTTAGTAGAAGGAGCAGACTGATGTCGGAGGGTCATGGTAAAAGTCCAGCATTCAGCATTATCCCTATTTTTCGTCAGAATGCATAATGCGTGCTTTTGTCAGCAAATTTAGTGTGAAGGTGTCCAACGGTTTCATATGGCGCTATATCCTATGGCCGTCAAATTTTTTTTTCATTTCAGCGACGAAGATTCATTAATTTGTGATGATGAATGATCAGTTTTTTCCAACTTTGGTAACAAAGGATGAAGAATTTGCTATGCCTGGAACGAATACTAAAATATTTAAGGATGAATGTCTTCACTGTTTTTTCACACCACTTCATCCAGGTTTGCTTTTTCCGCAACTTTTTTTAATTTTTATATTTATAATTGTGTATATTTTCAGTTTTCATTTAATTAAATTTAATATTAATTGTTATCGTTAACTGACTAATTTAATTTTAAATATTACCTTGTTCTTTTGTTTTAATTATTGATGTGTTTCTTCTGCTGCTGTTATCATTGTTATTGATATTGATAATTATGAGATAAACGAGATAATTAATTATTAATATCAGTTAATATTAGTTATCGATAGTGATACTTGGTTATTGGTGAGAAAACAATAAAAAATACGGATAAGAGGATAGAGGATATACAAAGGAGATAGAAAATAGAGCAGTAAAACAGTGAACAGTAAAGATGAGCAGTATTTCATTGATTCTCTTCATGTTTGAATTACTGATAAGTACCAATTTTATTTACAAATTAGTGGTTCTTTGCCTTTGGCATCAAATATACTGTGCCGTTTATGAGTTTCACGAATTTTTACCATTTTTTTTACAATGCACTGGATTTTATCACTTTTCCATTGTCTATTGTAAAATATTTCTTGCAGATGGTCTTTTTGTTTGCTTAAAGAGTTTTGCTGGATTTTGTATTAATCATTTGTACGATTATTGCATTAAAACTCAGCGAAAAAATTTTTTGTGGATTAAAGAAATGGATGAAACAGATAAATGTAAAGATGAAGAGGTTTTCTTTTTAATAAAAATTATAAAAATGCAAATGCGGAAATAAATTCTTTCTTTTGCATGGTCAAAGGTAATCTTTATAAGTTCATTTTAAATTTCTGAAAAGTTAAAATAGAAATTCCTTGTTGAAATATTTTATTTTCTAAAATCTGCTTCGTTTTTCTATGAAAGAAAATAAAGATAAAATGTTAGTATTGAAAGCGATTTTTGCACCTGTTGTTCGAAATTCCATTTTATTTTACTGGATTATTTTTGTTTTTATGATTAAATTGTGCTGTTTCGACTAGGTTCAAATTTCTATTTTCTTGATAGAAAAAACGTATATTAAAAATGAGATCCAGGTTGTCGTCGCGGCTCACATGTATTCTCAAGTGGCTGTCTTTTTTTTCTGATAAGCCATTCTTGATTATTCTAGTTATATTGCTATAAGGATGGATCCCATGTCATTTTTGATCATTTTTCAGCCCTCGAAGTATTAATTTATCTAATCTTTGTTTTTATCCTTTTCGAGCAATTGGACCGTTTCTTTTGATATTTAATTGCTGATGCATTTCCGGCAGAATATCATAGCTTTTTGGTCAATGTGCCTTTAGGGAAACAAATATTCGTGGCCGTTATTGGTTATGGAGATATTGGAAATAATTCGGTGCATACTGTCTCACAGTATGTTCAAAAGTCGAATGATTTTGGAGGATGTATCTGTGTTTGTCACTTTCATGCGAATTTTCAATCGTATAATATGGTGAAGTTTGCAAGATTTCATCGCTATGATAGAAACAATTGATTAAAATATAATAAATCTGGAGAGTTCAATGTAACTAGATGTATTCTTCGATGTCAGAAGTGTGGTAGCAAAAAATTAAAGCAAGACCCTATCGAGTAACGCATTCCAGTCTTCCCAGACTATGGCCATATCGTTTTACGCGAGAGATTGCTGACAATCAAATTTATAGTTTTCTGTATAGGAGTATCTCGTCTAAAACGAATTTCAAAAAACTACCAATCTTTTCATTTTATATTTTTCTTTATTTGATACGTAGATTATCGGATTTCCGTAGATTTTATAGTTCGCTGTTTAACATTCTCTCTATAACCTTGGAATCTCCATTGTTTTGGTTGGATAAGTCCCAGATTTTTTTTGGCAATTTCCATTGTTTAGTAGATATTCTTATAATAAATTTCCTGTAAGATAGAAGAAAGTAGAGCTTTTCTATCTGAAATGTATTTTCTAATTGAATTTCAGTAATAAATCCTGAAAGTTTATCCATCACGTCAATTAAATTATTTCAATTACTTTTATATTCCACAAGATTTTCCGAAAAATTTGGTTATTATTCACAAAAATAATAGTGTTGCTTGCCCATTAAAAAACTTTTATTTATTTATTAATATATTTGTTATAACTTGTAAACTATTATATAGTCATAATGCACATAATGTTCTAATATTATTATCTCATTCCTTTTTCGGACGGGTTGTGCTGGATCCATTGAATATTTTTTTTGCGTAGAATTTATCGGGTCAAGATTGGTGAGAATATTCCATTTTTGTGTGATATAATATATTTGTACGAAGTAAGATATTGGATCTATTCTTTGTTCTTTTTTTTCTGTTTTTTGAGTGGATTGCCAGTGGAATATTTCCAAATGTATAAATAGTATTTCGAAATGTGGGAGAACCTTTTAATAGTTATTTACAATACGATAGCAAATGTTCCAAGTTTATTTTGAAATCAGTATATTCTTACCTTTGTGGCGCACCAAACTGTTGGATAGGAATTTTTATTAGACTTTCAATAAAAATTTTAGAAGTGGAATTTATCTGTTTGATCAGCTGTCGGAAATCAAATCGTACCACACATAACAGTAATAGTAGCATAATATAACATAAATAATAGTCAATAAGGTCACTTTAATCTTTCACTGATAGATTCGTGGTGAAGTCTATGACTAGTGTGTGCTGATGGTATTACTGAACCTCTTCTTATTACTATGCGGTTTACTGGGGTCCACGCAGTTATAGTGGATCTTGCCCTTTATTACCATTCAATTCCTGAATTTACCGAAGCACCACAATCATCCAGTTCTATCCATCAATTCTGCCAGATATAATAATACTTGGAGTGAAGAAAATGGACTTTTAGTAGACAAGCAATGTCCATGCGATATTTGGGCCAAATGTGGAAGTTAATCGTCTCTCTAAGTGGCTGTTTAGCGAAGGGCGTTCGTTCCTAGCGTTCAAAAAATATTGAATTTGAATAATAAGATAATACTGAATAATATTGAATATTTAGAGAATAGAATATAGAATAGTTTGCTTTTTAATGATCCAAATCTAAATAATCTATAATAATCGAAAATCTGTTAGGTATAATTATTATCTAAGATTGAATTTTCAGAGTAATATTGCGCCACATTTAAAAATTGATAATACACCTCAGCAGAAAATTAATATCGAATATGGATTTGTCGTTTTTCCTGCATTGAACGTTAAGATTCCTATTGATAAGTTCATTTTTATCGAATTTATTCGTTTATACTGTTTTTAAAATGCAATAAAATGCTTTTTTACAATAAAATGCAATAAAAATACAATAAAATGCTTTTTTTCTGTCGTTTTTACCTACAGTTTATTCTTCTTTTCCTTTTCTGAAGTTATTGTAAATCCAGATTAACTGGAACTCTTGCTTTGGTATGTCATAAGGTCATCGAGGGTGAAGGTGCTAAACGTGCTGCATTGCTTGAATCAGGAACATCTGGTTGGCATGGAGAAACAAAATTTATTTCAAAACATTCAAATTTAAAGCAGGTTAAATTTCACATTATTTCAATTGTTATAGGGATATTTCTTCTTTTTTTCTATCAATTCGCATATTTTGCTGGTTTCACTAGTTATTAAGGTTAAAGCGAAGCTGCCATATATTATACTGGCAACGTATATTCTGGCTGTATCTATCGAGATCTTTATCGTTTGTTTTTGACGTTGTCCACCACAAAGCTTGGCATGTAGCGCGTCAGTGCATATGAACGATAGTTTAAGTGGTGTAACATTACGTTATGATTTGTATTGTGGGGAATATTCGAGTAAAGATTGATTCAATGATGTGAGATTATATTTGAATTTGTAAGAATATGCAAGAATCGTTAAAAGTATATAGCTTCTTGATATATCTTAATTTGAAAAGTTTTGTAGTCGTACAATGGTATTGTACGTAGTACAACTGGAGCTAAATATATGTAAATTTTTTTTTTGATACTGATTCTATTTTCAATAGATAGATCACTTGAGTTTGGAATTAAGTGAAGAAATATCGTGCCAATTAAATATCTTGGATCCACTCTAATCCCAAATGGTCAGGCAGAGGATGAAATTGTTAACCGGATAGATAGAACGACAGCTCGAAATGTGTTTTTCCAGTTGATGGAACCTTTATGGAACCATCCATATAGCTATAGTTTGCTTGATTTTACTATATGGCTGCGAGACATGGTCAATGAGAGTGAAGGAGCTATCAGCCATGTCTAAGATGCATTTTTCGGGTTCACCGGGTGGATAAAATCTCACATGATCGTATCCATCTTCGTTTAAATACCATTTGCCATTGCATTAATGACATTATCACAGGGCGTCGCCTTCGTTGGTTAGGGCATTTGACGCATATTTATTACTTCCTAAACCTTGTGATGGGTTTGCCAATCAAGATTGATACGGTCAGAAAAGATTTTGAACATATACATGGACCAGCAATATATGGGCTTAAACGTTGCAAAAAGGAATGGCTTCTATTACTATTAGCGACGGCACCAAGCAGCTTGGAAACATCTTACTTTTACAGCCAGTGGAGCCAGTCTAACCAGTAATGGTGAGAGCTGTTTGAAGAGAAAGAAAAAGAAATATCGCATAGTTATGGCTTGAGTCCCAAACTCATAACCATTCTGATATTTCATGCAAATAGAGACTTATTCAGACTAATTCTTGTTGATATTCTTAACTAATCTAAATTAATTCCCTTTTCTCTGAAGCTTCCGTCATTAATGCTAAATTTAATTCGCATACTTCGCATTCACTTACTTGTTCCCACTAGATTCGAGTGCTTTGGAATTCGAAACATGAGATTATTTTTTTTTGCACGTATGATCCACTTCGCCTGTTAGGGCTTAAGATATTGAGACTAAAGTATGGGAATAGAAATGTAGATATATCCTCAGTTGTCAACAAAATTTAAATTTCTACTGATCGCTGTTCCATTTTTAATATAGAAGAAATTAACTTCTACCATATTATGAAGTACTGAAAAAACTATTATTTATTGCGGTTAAATGTTAATCTTTATTTTTCAGCTTGATAATATTAGACCGGTCCCACCATCTGGGTGGATTTGTGAGGAAGAAGGTTGTGGTTTAACTGAAAATCTGTGGATTAATCTTACAGATGGTGTAATAAAATGTGGACGTACACAGTTTATCCAGGAAGGTGTAATGACTAAAGGAAATAATCATATGAGAGCCCATTATGAAGCGTATGAATAATTTTCTTATTGTTTCAAATGAGATGAAAAGAATTTATATTTATACGTTGGATAAATAATTTGAAATTTTAGGACGAATTATCCTCTTGTTGTTAAGTTGGGAACAATAACAAAGAATGATGCGGATGTATTCAGCTATGATGAAGATGATTCGGTTATAGATTTAAATCTTAAAGCGCATTTAAGACATCTGGGTATTGATATGGATTTGGCTGAAAAATCTGAAAAGACAACCCTGGAGCTCGAGCTTGATATGAATCAAAAGTATGTCACGAATTTCCCTATTCTAGAAGAGGAGCAGAGGAAATAAGCAGCTATATCGTTTATTAAGAATATAAGACACCAAAAAGATATTTAAAAAATTAGCGTCATGATATTCTACATCAGTCTTTGAATATATATAAATAAATTTTAAATAAATTAAGATTTAATTCTCATTTTTTATTCATTTTTCAGTTTTTTTTTTCATTCTTATAACCTAGCTTTTTTCTTGCTGCTGAAAATATGGGAAATCTAGTCATTAAGTACAAATTTTTCTTTTCCAATAATATTTTATTTTTCGTCTAATTTGTTTTTAAAAAGAAAAATACCGTTCGTTAAATAATTATAGTTACATAACAGTGTATATCAATTTTTTTACCGTTGCTGGTTCTAAAAGAATTGGCTAAATATTTTTTAGGAACTCCTGAAATCCCCTTGGGGAAATTATTTAAAAAATATAAATTTATAAATGATTTTAAACGGGTGTGAATTTTAAATGTTTCTCGATCTTTTTTATTGAAAGGATTTTTTTCTTCTGCTCTGAAAATTCAATTCATCTCTGAACATTTGATGAAAAAAGGTAGGGTATCACGGTCGATTGATTCATAGAGTGTACCAGTTTCCTCATTTTAAATTTTGATCATCAGCCGCGTATGTTGAAAATTTACTGAGGAAGCAAGCATCATTAAAATTTAATATATTACTATAAGGATCTTTCGTTTCATCAGTAAATTCCCAATGATTTTTCAAAAAGTTCCTAACTAGTATAGCTGAAATTTTAAGTTTAAATTTTAAATTTTAATATAGCTGAAATTTTCTAAGAGATTTTCTGCCCGGAATCAAAAGATCAATCCCGAAATTTTGTGTTCGAGGATTTGAAAATTGTGACTTTATTGGATGTTAATCCAATAACAGTTATAACTATTTTCCATTTTTTTGCTAATATTATTATTAGATGAGATAATAGTGCTAATACTACATACTTATAACTTGATTGAGAGTAGTAATTATATTGTAATATTTTACATGATTTGTTATTAATTATTTATTATTTTTTATTATTTATTGAACATGATACTTATTTATTATTGGGGATAATGAATAGAAGTTTTCGGGATTTCGATGTGATAAAAAGCAGATCTTTCAGCAATATTATCATTAAAGCCTTTTATTTTTAAAAATAAATAGCAATTGTAAATTACTCCTTTTTTTAAAATCCTTACCAATGAAAACCAAATCCTCTAAAATATCTTTGAAATTTTTCTTAAAACTTGTATTATTCTTGCGGTTAGTAAATTTTTTTTTTTTATTTTTGTGTCGTTAAGTTTTTATTTTAGTTATTAAGTCTAAATTTGCGATAAAATATTTGAATATAATATTTTAATAGATTTGGAGAAAATTTCGCAAATTTTACTTTAAATTCACTATTATAATTTAATACTATGAAAATGCTATAATACTACTCTTTACTAATATTTTTAAATCATACTTTTTAGGGCAACATTAGTTTTGATTTCTACTTATACTTTGGTCGTGTTGATTCTGCGCGAAATTGTTTGGTGTTTTAAAAATAAGTGGTAGAGGTTAAAGTTAGGAAAATTATTATAGTTGTCTCATAATTTTTTCATTCGTAGGAATAAATTATTGTGGCAATCACATCAATACCTAGTTTTAGGAATAAGGAAAATAAGGAAAACGGAATTATCCGTGATTTATTTATTCCTACGAATACGGAATTATTTAACATTATCACATGCTAAACCCATTTTGCTTAGTGTGATAATTGCATTTTTTTTTAATGTTTTATGTTAATTATAATTAATAAAAACGAATGCTTATTACTTAGTATGGTTTTTAATGGCCTTTCTGATAAACAAATTTCAATATATTACAATTTAAAGATTTAAGATTCCATTATTTATCCTGTCTGTTTCGATTTAAGAATTTTTATTTTGGTCAATATTTTATTTAAATATTTTTTTACTTTTAATAAGAATGACAATTTTAAGGTGGGAATGGACGATATGTCAGGAAGATGGTGCGAATTTGGAGCTTGCTTATGGCCCAGGATTTACAGGAATGATAAATATTGGATCGTCTTGTTATATTAATGCGGTAAATCGATCGAATTTTTAATGAGGCAGTGAAATTCTATTTCTATTAATCAAATTTCAAAATAGCAGTGACGAAGATTTATCATTTTTTCATCATTAAATAGATTTTTTTAATATATAGTCCGTTTAGATTCAGTTTTAGACGATACAAATGTTGCTGCAAATACCAGATTTTGTCTGTCAGTATGGTGAACATTGTATCAAACACTTTTATCACGTTTCGAATCTCGCGGACAGTTTTAATGATTTTAATTGTCAAACTGCAAAAGTCATTTCAAGTTTAATGAGTGGAAATTTTTCACAGGTTTATTTTTAAAAATTTTCAAGGATATTGTAAAGATTTTCAATATAATTTAAAAAATTGTTCGCTGATAGATTATATTTAAGTTATAAAAAACTTAATAAATGCTTATGATTGAGATCGAATAAACGGCATCTTAGCATTTTAAATTTTAAAGTTACAAAATCACCTCTTATATTTTATTTTATTTAATAGATGAATGAGTTGCTGGTTTTCATATTTCAATTTTCATATTTCTTTACTTTTTGTTTTTAAAATAGTTAAAATATATATTACCATTTTTGCCAAATCAGGGCGTCAAATTATTGCAATGTTTTAGCATAATGGCAAGTTTAATGGTATAAAACCCGAGCAGTTTAGGCGTGTAGTAGGTCGCGATCATCCTGAATTTAGTACGAGTCGGCAGCAAGATGCTGATGAATATTTAAGGTGATTGCTCTTTTATTTTTTATTTTTCCTTTTATTTTTAATGAATTTATCATTTATGTCCATAAAAAGAATTTTATTTACAGGTATTTTCTTTCAAAGGTTGATCAGAATGTCATCGAAAATGTGAATCCCGTCAACGCTGTTCGTTTTAAAATTGAAACTCGTCTTTTGGATTGTTCTAGTGGTCTAGTACAGTATAAGCAAAATGAAGAGCTTGTACTGTCGCTAGTTGTTCCTTTTCGTTCTAATAATATGGAAATTCAGGTGATGCTAGTATTTTTATAGCTAGAATTTAAAAATGCAAATAATTTTAAATATAGTATTGCATTTGCGTATAGCAATATTATAGATTTTGATAAATAAATAAATGGGTAAATTTTTATTACGGTCAAACTTTAAAATTATTGCAGTTAAACGAAATTGGTGAGCCTATTCGACCAACCGTTACATTCAATGAATGTTTAAAAGAAACATTCTCAGAACAAACGATTAACGATTTTCGATCACCAGTCACTGAAAAAATTGGAAATGCCAAATTGAAGCGATCTATCGCTACATTCCCCAATTTTCTGATACTTCAACTGCAAGTATGGATTTTAATTTCTGGTTTTTCTATCCTTGTTTGCAAATTTGCAAAATTTTTTCTTTTATCTTTTTTCTCTCTCTTCTTTTTCACCTCTTATTCTCTTCAATCGCTGATTGCATCGTTAATAATTTGCTTTTTCAATAAAGAATCATTCCCTGGTCCCCTGGCTTATTTCTTTTTCTTTTTACCTACTGTTGTCTTATAATAATACAGTTATTTCATTAATCGTACAATTATTGCATTCTCTTCTGGATTTTTTCTTATGATACAGCTGATAGGAAACTGTTTTGTGTTATTCATGGATTTGATTTATTGAGCTTTTGATTTTAATAGATAATTTTTTTTTCATTTTTTGGTAGCATATATAATTCTTTCAATTGCATCATTTTAAATTTCGTTATAAATTTTTTGTTTTGTTTATAGAATATTAAAACACATTATTAATTTCAGAAATTTTGTATAACAGAAAATTGGACCATTAAAAAAATGGATGTAAATATAGATATGCCTGAAATAATGAATCTGGAATGGTTGCGCAGTCAAGGTCCACAACCGGGTGAATCGCTTCTTCCAGATAATGCTGGCCAAAAAGATATACCTTTTATTAATCCTGAATTCGTTGAAACTGTAAGAATATTAAAATTTGTGTTTTAAATTTCCACTTTTTTGATCAGTTTTTTTTTTAGATATTTTCCTGGTTTTAGATATGTTCAATGGGATTTTCATTAGAAGCTTCACGCAAAGCTATTTATATGACAGAAAATAGTGGCGTAGAACAAGCATCGGAATGGCTTATGAATCATCTTGATGATGCTAATATTAATGACGAACATCCGGATTTATTACCCACTGGAAAGGTTATCTTCCAATAGCACGTACCATTTCTGACTTGGTTGGCTTCACTGATTAAGGTAGAAGTTCCTTGAGAATTGCTTGGGGATTAAAATATAGGTGTGACCCAGTTTTACTTGAATTTTTTTTATAGGAAATTTTTCTTAATTAGAAAACAGGAACCAAATTCTAGATGCTTAGCACCTCAGTTAATTTATCATTCGCTCTATCGCATTTATATATATGAAAAGATACGCCTGCGCCATATACTGAACGAATTGAAAATAAGAATAAAATAATAGTGCTGATCTTACGACTTTAAATGATATGAATAATGCCTTCAGGTTCTATTTCAAAATTTAAAATTTGAAGCGAAAAAACCATCAGTAGGCAATCCATTCCTGTAGGTAATGCTTAGGTTACATATACTGATATTCAAACAAAGATAATAATCACTGTGATTTAAATTAATATAAGAAAATGAAATTAAGCAAAAATTAGATTTTGCTTAATTTTTCTTATTCTGAAATGATAAAGCTTTAATTTTAATCTAATACGAAGTTAATTGAAAGTCGGATTTCTATCATCCTACTATTGAAATTTTATTTTATTTTTTCTTCTAATTTACTAGCAATTTAACTACCGTAATTTAGAATAAATTTAGAATAACAATTAATATTAATTTTCTATATCACTATACTTTCTATATCACTAATATACTTTCTATAATACTGGTGTTTTGCGATCATATTTGCGATTTATGAAATAGAGTAAACCAGTAAAAGAAACAATTCAAACCGTTCACAATTCTGTTTTTATTTTTATTTGGTCTTTCTTACAAAAATATTTCAGTTTATTCCAGATTTATTCATATTTGTTTTTCTTTTTATTTTAAATTTGTTCATATTTTTTCTTTCCATGAAGATTGATCGCGTAGATTTTTATATAATTTTTCCACTTTACAAATTTTCAGGCTTCAACAATCGATGGATCTCCCATGACTGCTCAGTTAATGGCACTTGGTTTTTCACTACACCAAGCAAAATACTCCTTAAACCAATGCAAACGTGACGTGAACTGCGCAGCTGAATGGCTGTTAGCCCATGCAGACGAGGTTCCTATTGGAATGGACATCGACACGAATTCATCAGTTGGTTGGATTTGGCATCCCTTCTTCAGGAAGAATTTAATCTTAGGGCTTCAGGCTTATTAAGGATTCATTATCAGACCTTGGGATTTACCATCTAGACTCTCTTTGATTCATGTTAATTCATGTTAATTTTATCATCCTACTACTGAATTCCATTTTCCCTTTATAAAAGGCTTTTTTTCCGCATTTTCATCCTTGGTTTTTATTTCAAATTCAAATTGATTTAGTAAGTTTCGCATTATATGAAGTTAGTTTTTAATTTTAATTGAAATTTGCATTTTCAGACGTTAAATCAAATGTTGAATATTCTGATGGCACACCCAAGTATCACTTAATAGGATTCATATCTCATATGGGCACATCCCCAAATAGCGGCCATTATGTTTGCCACCTCAAGAAGGTATTAATTTTAGACGAGAATTAGACCACGGCTTATCGGATCTTAGGATATTTTTTTATTTAATTTATCCTAAATTATTGTTGATGGTCATCAAGTATAATAAGATCAAACTCTCATCGAACTTTACAGAATGGGAAGTGGTATTTGTTCAATGATGAAAAAGTTGCCGTTTCGCAAAAACCACCTATTCAGCTCGGTTATATATATTTATATAAAAGGATAGTTGGTGATCAGTAGGTTTTTTTGTTCAGGAAATTTTTTTTTTAGCTGTACTATTTCTTTGGTTGTTGAGTTTTGCGCTGTTTTATTGAAACTGCTCTTTTATTGAAATTTGTGATAAAAAAGATTGCTTAAAGCCACAAAGAGAAATTATTTTGAAACGAAATTATTTTAAAATGCTACATAAGATTTATACTAGCTACATAAAATTCATTTATGAACTTTAACAGCCTATATAACTCAATGTATCTTTAAAAATAACTGGACTTGACCATAGAATAAGTGAAAAATGAAATTTCCGCAAGGAATAAAGACAGCTATATACCATGAAAATATTCCCTATAAAAATTAAAATTAATATATCTAAAAAAGATTGTAAGATATAAAATACCAGGTGAAATACCTTACACATACCATATAGATAAACAGACTATAATTTCTCAAATTATTTGTAGTATTTTAGCGCATTTAATTTTACAGAAAAATTATCCGTTCTTCAATTTTAATTTAAATAAGGTTCATTTGCAAAATTTCATAACTAAAATCAAATTTTCCAAAAATTTTTGAAGTGTTGAATTTTAGGAATTCTAGAAAAAAAAAAATTTTAGGAATCCGCATTTTGCTGCACAGATTTTCTCGTTCTCGCAATTACCTCACAATTTTTTCGTCAACCACATGTGGCTGCACAGTTTCCCTCTGCTGTTTAGTTCCATCATTAAATACAGTTTTGGTTCCCACATTTGGTTGTAAAATTTTTTTTTTCTCAATGGATTTTTTTAAATTGGTCTCGTTTTGATCATATGTCTTCTTCTGTGCTGGTTCTTTTTCTTCGTTTTGTGTCTTGTTATTTTCAGATATCCTGATTTTTTGTGAGGTTTTTTCCATAGTCTTCGTTGTTTTGAATGGAGGTTTAACCGGTTTCTGTGTTTTTCCAATTGTTTCGGATGGTTGAGGTGGAATTTCCAATTTTTTTTCATTCGTTCCTTCGCGTGGAGTTTCTGATGGATTCTGAGTCATTTTAACTCTGTTAGGGACTTGTGGTGCAGATGGAACTTTCTTAGCCTTTTCATTCCTTCCTTCACCTCGTTCTTCTAATTCTGATTTTAATACTTTAGGTGGAACCGTTATCGATTTTTCGACCATCCCTTCCGAAGTATGGGATGAGAGCGGAGTTCGACTAGGTTTTTCGACTTTTTTAATTTTTTCAACCTTAGGTAAAGGTAAGGCCTGAGACGACTTTTCAGTTTCTCTAATCTCTTCAATTCTCGGAATTTGATGTGGAGATGAGACTTGCAGCGGTTCCTCAACTAATTCTTTACGCTGATTATCCATCTTTTCATCAGTTAGGTCCGAAGGAAGCAATTTTTTAATCTTTCCGAATCGTTTATCCATCTCCTTGTCATTCGAACCAGATACTGGAACTGGCTTTTGTTCCTCAGCCGTCGCTTCAGTTTCTTTGTCAACCGCTTTTTCTGGATGTCCAAATTTCGGAAAATTGGTCTTTGTAACTGGAACCAAAACATAAGTATTAAATCGGTATTTCAGTGAAAATAAATATCAATTTAAATTAAATGAAAGAAAAATTTCAAGATGATGGCTTATACTAACAATTCAAATTCGCCAGCTTTAAAAATTAAAATAATATAAATATTAGCCAATAGTATTAACATTTGTCGTATTTTCCTTCTCTTCCATCCCATATGTACGGTGGCTATAAGAAAAATGCTTGTGGGAAATCTACTTCGAGAAGACTTCAATAAACCAAGTAAGGGAAGGAAGAAAGAAAGCCTTAGCTCATAGTGATAATCATAGCAAGAAAATCACTTCTACGCTTAAAAAATACAATTTGAATGGTAATAAAGAAATTTTTTACAGTGAAAAATTCTTACTCTTTTTGGTAAAATAAAGCCTTCAGATTCCTGTTTCGAAACAAACATTTTTAAAAAATGGGTAAAGTAATGAATTTTTTTAATAATATCTTTTATTTAAAATTGAAAAACATCTAATGAAATTTTTCGGAATTTTTTTTTATAAAATATTTTAGCTGAAATTCCTGTATCCTCGCTATTTGAAAATGATATCAGTAATGCTATATTAATACAATGCAAACATATGCAAGTTGCTCTATAAACAGCTTGACTGAGAAATGAAACTGCCAGCATAATTCTGATTCCATCCACCAACCCGTTTCATAACCAACTAGATGGAGACGATGGCTAAATATTATTTCGAATGAGATTTGGCACCATAGGGTCTCTTCGACTTCGGTCTCGAGTATGCCTATTAAAACTGGAATTCAAGCGGATACCTCTGCAACTTTCCCAACTACCTTGAGATAGGACAGTAATGATTAATGGAGTCAAACCAAAAACATTTCAATTTGGAAGAAAAACGAAAAATTTGAATTGGATAAACGTAACAGGCCAATACATATCCTAACATACCGTTCTTATGCTTAGGCATAATTTCATCAAAAATATTCGTTTCCCTTTCTGTGCGAAGTATTGTAAATGTACTGCCGACAAGCATTAACAAACCGATCAATACCGATATCTGAAAAAGGCGAAATAAACCAAAAGATTTGTCATCTCTGTCAAGATTTGTCACCTGAATCTGCCTAAGAAAATTATAACAATTTAAACGTGACAATCAAAGATAATGGAAATTAGTGGAAATTACTCGGAAGATAAACGAGTATTGCTTAGACTACTGTTCCGAACGTTAACGTTAAAGTCCGAATCTTATTTCCGATAAAGTGAATATGTCAATAAAAAATCCAGGTAAGGAATAGTTTTGAAGAAGCCATATTTTTTTTCCCTGTGGGTATTATGAACGGTCTTTATCCTCAATCTCCTCAATCCTCAATCTCTACTAAAAAGAACAAGCAATAGGATTTCTGTAGGACTCACTGTGAGATTTCTCAGCATTTCATATATATATATATATATAGTGTAATAATCATTCCGAACCAGTATTTGAGTATAGTTCAAAAGGACATTGAGAATAATACCAAAGGCTCAAAACATCAGGAACTCATATATTCTCTCAAGACTAAAGGTCTCGAAAGACTAATCCGAAAGCAGCGTGAACTGACTATATGGGGAGGCCTATGAATCAGTGTTCCATACATGGATCTAAGAACGTCTGAATCCATAAAAAGTCAACATCCCAAAGACTTTCATCAAGAACTCGATAAAACAGTGGAAAACGAAACTTGAGGCCAATTCAGAAAACAAGGCTATCAAGTGCAGCTAAATGATGAATTGTCTCCATTATTGTTCTGCATAGATCTAAACCTCTCAAGAGAATCATAAGAGGAAGATATGAATACAAGTTCAGGTGCAGAACTACCATCTTCTCTACACTGATGACACCAAGTTATATGCTAAAAGTGAAAAGTGAACAAGACATTGACTCTCTCATCCACATAACACGAATTTATTAGGAAGACCAAAGCGCTAGGACCACTAAGCTGGAATGTGGCTCCAACAGAACTCAGTAACGATATCATTAGAGAATTCTATCCAAGCAGTGTTAGGAATGAAATATTGCATAGAACCTTCAAGTTCTTAAAATAGAGGACCCAAGGTTCAAGTTGATTTACACCATCGACGGAGGGTGATAAAAGGATTTTTTTATAGATGTATTCCATCAGCGAAAAATAATAAAAAAATAAAATAACAACAAACTTTCGCATAAAGTTTCATATTATCTTTGCTATGATAAGCTGATGGAGTAACCGTGATATACAACAAAGATGGGATTACAATTGTAACCAATGAACCAATCAATGCCCCAGTCAAACCAAGAATAAATTCAACTGAAAATCAAAAAAATTTGTTATTAAATATAAACTAAATATAAATAAAATTTTACTTAGTTATTATATAATAATTATTTTAAGCAGTTTCCAAAAAATTGCTTCATGCTAAAAATTTTTTCAATTTGGCTTACTCCAAAATTCTAACAGTTATCATCTCTTGCCTGTCTGGTTCCACTGGTTACAAAACTCTTTTGTCAGACAACTGGAAATAAAAATTGGATCATCAACAGTTCCTCGGACTCCACTTGTTATGAAACGATTTTTCACCAAGAACTAGTTCTACCTACTATTAAAAATTGCTATTCGATCGCTCTACCTATCACAATTAAAATACAAGCGTCAAAAAGGCATTTTTCCACAAAAAAACCCTAACCATTAGGAACGACAATCGCGATCAAAAGATTACTGAAAAGTACAATAATTGTGAGCAAGAAAAATGTCATACCACTCATTTTCGTAACAGTAAATTCACCAAAATTCTAAAAATCAACTTTAATTCACAGCATAGTTAGAATTTATAAAATTAATTTTGGAACAATAAAATAGAAAAAAATTCCAACACTTTTCCATATCTTTCTATTCTTTTTTAGCTATTTTATTTAAACGAAAATCTGAAATAACAAAATAATAAAATTCTTAAAAATTCCTTCATAATTACCTTAAAAAATATTTATTTTTAATTAAAAATGGACATTACCCCACGAATAAATAAATTATAGCAAGCGATACGAGTAGGAAATAACATTAATGGTATGCTTACGGCCACCGATAGCATGAACGCCAGTTTAATCATTTGAGTGATAAATGAAGAAGATAAATAAAGAAGAATATCACCATGCAAATCTATGTCATGAAATGCAACATATCCAAAAAGACCAACGGCAGCATATATTCCGCTACACAAATTAACAGCACCTGCCACAATCGTATCCATCTAAACAGATAATCAAATATAACTTCATACATGGTATCCAATAAAGAAAGCTTTATTATTATGGTAAAATTTGGCAAAGGAAAATTTGTATATTATATATATATATAATTCTTAATGACTCTCGTCTTCTTCTTCCTTAAATTTAGGAATTGAAATTTTGGTCGGATACCGCGTGAAAATTTAAACTAGTGGCAAATCATTAGCTATCAGACCCTTTCGCAAGTAAATATTGCAATCAAAGCCTGGTTAAAGGCTATTAACAAGTTATCCTCACGATAATTTATCTACGGTAGTATTTGTAACAATCCATTAGTGTGAAATTCCAATAAAACACGATGGGTCATTCACTGTCTGTTGAAAAATATAAAATTTTGCACAATAATTCTAAGTTTTCCACCTCAAATTTTTATTGATAATGATAACACAATAACATTTTAGATTTTGGTTTCATAATTTACAACTGATACATATTAAAGTTTTTTGCTAATAAATTATTTGATAAAATTGATTTTTCTTTTTGTCTTCGATTTTTTTCACCTTTAATTTTATTCCCTTTATCTTTGAAAGGAGTTAAAGGAATCTATTATGGCTTCATCCAAGTGATTGCGGGGACCACCTGTAACTCTATTCTTATAATAAGGGTACTCTTAATGCGCATATCCGCAGCCCAGTGGTACATGCAATAATTGCAATTCGAGTATAGTAAAATAATCCAAGAATTTGAGAAGATATGCTCTTCAGATAATTGCTAGAAACAAGTCAAGGAAACAGTTGTCTCCATGACGAAATTTTAGCCGTAGCAAAGTAGAACATCAAAATGCTTATGGATGTTGCAAGCCAATTATGGGTGTCGCTTGTTTCTCGGAGGCGGAAATCTTTCTCACTTCGGATTTTGGGCAATTATTATCAAACCTAGCTCTAAGCAGAAGAATTGGCAATATTACTGTGGTGTTTCAAATAATTCGGAGCGCATGGTCCTTGGCCGCTCCAAAAGAAAGTTCCGCAATATTTCGGTCAACTGCGTATATGCTCAAATTTTATGCGCAAATGACCAAGAAAAGGATAGACCCCATGCGAAATTCCAACTATTAATAGCAATATCTAATAACAATATCATTATATCTATATCTAATAACAATATCGGGGTGAATTCTTCAAATATTGTCCATCATCCTTCATAACGCACCTTCAACAAATGTAGTTTCTAGTATGGAAAAAGAAATATTACCAGATGATTGGAGCAAAGCAATTCTGCTCCAATTCTCAAGAAAAGTAATAAGGACATACTGCGACAATTATCGAGGAATTAGCCTACTAGACGCCTTAGCAAAAATTTTTGCTTCCCTTTTATTCAACAGACTTATGGAAGAACAGCAGGATGCTTAGTCAAGCTGGATTCAGTTCGGAGAAGGGTTATGCTGAGATATTAAGAAGAGTGTTGGAACATGATTTCAAATATGTGCAACCCACGTGTTTCATCGACTTTGTGGCTGTCTTTGATTCAATTGATAGGGCGGAGCTTTGAAGAGTGATGAAATATGCGATAGAAGGGATAATGGATATACCGCTTGTCGGTACTCAAAGGAGGAGGTATAAAAATCCGGAACATCGTATCACAGAATAGTGATGATGATGAAAAATCCTTTTTTGTTGATAGTTATGACGAAAGTGCCCAATTTTAAAAACCTTGGATTCACTCTAATACTGAATGGCCAGGCAAAAGACGATATTACAGACCGGATCACGGCAGATAGAAATACGTTCTTCCGGTTGACAATACCTTTATGGAATCGTCATGAAATCACCATAAAAACGAAAGTTCGCATCTATATTGCCGTGATCCGTTCGATCTTACTATATGGTTCTGAGACATGGCCAATGAAAGTGGAGGTTATTAAGAAGTTATCTGCCTTTGACCAATTCTGCCTAAGGTACATTTTACGGGTTCGTCGATCGGATAAAATATCACATGATCTCATTCATTTTCGTTCAAATACCGTTTGCATTAACAATGTTACCACAAAGCGTCTCCTTCGCTGGTTGGCTAGTTGCATTTTCCGTCGTCCACCATAGGAGTTGACGCATATTTCGTTACTTGCTAAACCCTGTTATGGTTGGCGGCAAAAGCGAGGAAAACCAGTCAAGACCTGGACTGATATATTTAGGAAAGAGTTTGAACGTATAGGTGGACCAGCAATATATGGACTTAGACGATGGAAAAAGAAATGGTCTGTCGAGGATGGCATCAGACCGCGCCGTTTGGAAGCGTCTTACCCTTCTTGAAGCCATCCTAACCAGTAATGATGAGAGCTGTTAGAAGAAAAAGAAGAAAAACAATATCCTTAAATGAAAGGTGACATGGTCACAACTGTGGGAGATTGGAATGAGCGCGTATTATGATGCCAAATTCGATGATTGGCAAACATGGCATCAGAGTCCTACGCGCTATTGGAAAGCATTTTCTCCATTTTGCCGAAGAACATGAATTTTTCTAATATATGCATTCGGCATCGAAGAAGACATCTAGTAAATGGAACTCCCTAGATAACAAGCACTGCAACCAGATTGATTGCATCTTAATCAATCGCCATTGGAAGATTTCTGCACAAGAAAGCCATTCCTAATACGGCGCTGGAACATTCATGGATCTGACCATGTTATGGTTCGACCAAGATCCGCATAAAAATGACAACTCGAAAGAAACAGCATCCCTCAAAATTTTCAACTATCTCAAACTAAAAAAGATTTAAGAACAATGGTAGCATCTCAAATCGAATTATTTAAGCACCTCAATGATATAAATTTCAACAATTTTTCTGGAATGGCAAATAAATACTGGTCCCAACTAAAGAAAAATCTCCGAAAATCGGCAATTTCCACGCTATGATATACAGCATGAACTAGTTGGGAAGCAAATGTGTAACTGCCCGAAATGGCTGCCAGAGCATTGTCAAGAGATCCTGGCTAGTGGATTCTTCCAAGAAACACAACGACGTCACCACGGCTGGACAGAAATCGCTATTGGAGCGATATGGCCTTGAGAAAGAAGGTAGCATGATAATACGAAATTTTACCTATACAAAACAATTGTAATTCGGTGAATGGACAGTAGCATGGGAAATGTGCTTGCTAAGATTATTAAGGATCGTCTCATAAGTTAAAGAATTAAGGCGTTTACTTAAATATGATGGGCCAAATGTTGTTCGGAGGGTCTGAATCGCTCGCCGAGTCATATGTTTGGTCAACTGTTAAACCATCAATCTCTATTATCCATAAGACCAATAAAACATCAAGAGAAGATGATCTCTGGGCTGAATTTTTCAAATGTTGTTCATTGTCCTTCATAACGCACCTTTCAATAAATGCATTTTTTGGTATGGAAGAAATACTACAAGATGACTGGAGTAAAGTAATTCAGTTCACAATTCTCAAGTAAGGTGATATGACATATTGGCAATTGTCGAGAAATCAGCCTACTTGACATCTTAATGAAAATTTTACTCGACTACCTTTTACTCAACAGTCTTATGCCACACTACGAGACAGTAGGATGCGCCTTAACCTGGGTTGAGGGAAGCTGGATTTAAACCGGAAGTGCTGACCAGATATTCACGTTAAGATCAGTGTTGGAACATCGAATATATCAAATATCTGAAACAGACTATAGACAGACAAATATTAGGTGTTCAATCGACTTTGTAACTGCTTTCGATTCAATTGACAGGGTAGCGCTCTGAAGAGTTATGGAATGTAACGATGTGGTGCCGGAAATCACACGACTGATAAAGGCAACATACTACATCAGAATAAATGACAGGGTCTTTAAATATCTTGAAATAAAAACTGGTGTCCATCAAAGCTGCATGCTTTCCCCTATAATATTCTATGCGATATTGATACTGAATAATAAACATTATTTATAGCACTCAAGAGGTGGAGAAATGAATCCAGGGCATATTATCACAGACCTTAAATAAGCTGATGATGTAGTCCTTTTTGCTTAAGTTATGACGAAATGCAAATAACATTAAACAATGCCGACAACTGCAGCGGAAATCAATGAATGACATTCACGACATGAATCGTAAATAAAGCGAAAACGAAAATCAAAAACTTATAAAATAGCTAATTTTATCAAATCACCACTAGTTGAAAAAGTACTCGACTTTAAATATCTTGAATATCTTGGATACACTCCCAGATGGCCAAGCGAAAAGCGAAATTATAACCTGGATAATAGCAATTAGAAATACGCTGATATGATTGGCAAAACATTATGCAGCCGAAATTACCATCAAAACGAAATGTCGCGTCTAAATAACTCTAATTCGCTCGATCTTGTTGTATAATTGCAAGATATGGCCAAAAAGACTGCAAAATATTAGGAAATTATCTACCTTAGACCACTGACCATTTTACTGGTTCGCCGAGTGGATAAAATCTCATAGTTGCATCAACTTCCGCTGAAATAATACGTCTGCATTAATACCATCAAGAGAGCCGCATTCGCTAGTTAGAGGACTTCTTCTTCGCCTATTACGGTAATTAACAAATTTCGTTACTTCCTACACTGGAACTGATGGCACTAAAAGCGAGACGGACCAATCAAGACCTAGATTGAAAGAACAGCCAGGAAAGATTTCAAACAGATGGATTAATAATATTCGAAATTAGATGATGGAAAAAGAAATGGAAATCGCTTCTATTACTATTAGGGATGGACAGGATTAAATAGCCTAGAAACATCTTACCCTTGTAGCCTCAACAGATAGAATAGGAATACGAATACGGATAGAAAGAATATTAAAAATTGCCTACAATAATTTTATTTTCTAGTCATGAATCAAAAAAATTTATTGCAGTAACCTTAGCCACAGCAGGATCTTTTATACAATCAGCAACGCAGAACAACTGAGTTTGACAAGACAGAGCCATTGAAATTATTGGGAAACTGAAAAAAATTCAATGAATCGCTTCAAGAAATCTACAAATATTATAAT